TCTGATGTTTACATTTACACTATTATACCAAGCAGCTCTGCTGCGTTAAATAAATAGGACTGTTTGCACAGGAAGAGAGTTTGATGTGTGTTAATGAATGCACATGTCAATGACTGTTGCAAAGGTGGGAGATATATAACCATTATAGATGTCTTCATGAATGGTGAGCCTCAGGATATTTTTATTATTTTTGCATTTCATTATAACTTGGTCTTACCAGCTATCCCTTTATTTCGCAATCACAAAAATATGATTTCTATGGTTTCCAATCTCAATAATATAATCTTAATATTCCCTGTGATGAAGGGGATATCTCTGGCCAACTCCTATAATGTTTTTGGCTACAATCTTATATGCTCTTGCCTGGGAGTTAAGTCCCATTGAACCCATTGAACTCAGTACAGTTGTACCTTGTTTCTTGAATGGAATCCGACTTCCGAAAACATTCAAAAACCAAGACATGGTTTCTGATTATCTGCAGGTGCTTCCTGCACTCAATCGTAAGCTGCAGAAGCCACATCAGATGTTTGACTTCCAAAAATAGTTCACAAACCAGAACAGTCACTTCCGGGTTTGTGATGTTTAGAAGCCAAAACATTCGAGAACTAAGCTGTTTGAAAACTGTAGTCTTGTGTCTGTGTAAATATGTAGAGGATTGCATTGTTGTTGCTGAAACAGCTTTGGCCACTATATCCAGGCCTTTGACTTCATCCCCTACCCAATAGTTGCTTCAAAAGAGGAGGTGTAAGTTCTGCACTAATATTTGCAGTTGTGCAGTCAAATCTGTGCAGTGTGGCAAAGAATAGCGGTGAACTGAACTATGTACCCAGATATATAAGTCAAAATAAATTTTGTTCTCATTTGAGAAAGGACCCTAGTTCAGTGATTCAGCTGCAGAAGTTTCCAGGTTCAATTCCTGGCATCTCCGGTTAAAACGAATAGGCTACAGGTGCTGGGAAAGATTTTAGTCTGAGACTCAGGAAAGCCACTGTCAGGCAGAGTAGACTAAGGATAGCCACTATGGTACTCAGCAGATACTGTTGAACTACAACTCCCATCAGTCCCAGCTATGGTCTGGGATGTTGAAAGTTGAAGACCAGCTTCTAAAAGGCACCACATTGGCTCTCGGCAGGGGACAAATCTGGGCAAAAGTGTGGCCTGCTATAAGGTTTGCCTAGCCAGCATTTTAAATCTCTTTGTGGTGGTTAGAGCTTCCTTTTTTGCAGCATCACTTTTCACTGGATATAAAAGCAGTCAGTGGTTTGGATCTGTCACTTTTGCTCTGTTTGCAGAAGGGGCTTCCATTTAGATCACGTCAATGAGTACAAGTTGCCTTCCATTAATGGGGGTCCTGTCAGGAGAAAAGGTGGGCTGATGATGATGAAGATGGAGCATCTGCGCCTTTTATACTAGAATGATGCAAGAGAGAAGAATACTAAAAAAAGATGTTGAGAGCTGCCATTATTTATATAATCCCTTTGAGGTGTGTTTTTTACACTCATCATTTTCCCACCAAACACGCTGGGAGTTGCAGACTACTATAGAATAGTGCAGTGCAAAACCTGGATGTCATGAGCAATAAAAAGTTAAGACTAGCTAGTTGGGAGTTTTAATGTGTTTTCTCCTTGTAATATAAAGCTCATTCCCAGAATTTCACTGGACCGTGTGGACAGGGCAACTGTCATAGCTGTCTATCAAGGCTGAATTAGATGAAGGCAGACAAAGCAGGCTTTGTGGTGAGACTGAAGCTGCAGCCTCAAACGTTTCCATTTCTCATCCAAAGGCACTGTGGGGGCATTGTCTTCCCCCTCTCTGAAAAGAGAATGGAACAATTATGTTACTGAAATTCCACAGTGAGCCTGAAAGACTGTTTATGTCCAGCCAGGGAGACAGTGAAAACTGAAAGGAGTTTCATGACAGCAGGGGTGGAGGTTTCTCGATATATTCTTCAATAGTATGGTGGGCCTGACTCTTCTCTCTCTCAGCAGTGTAAATCAGGAGAAATCCACTAATGCTAATGGAGTGGAACTAGTTAGAACAAGTCTCACTTATCCCTGACATTTTCATCGAGTTGCCCCACTCTGTGCACTGTGGATTTTATTACTTTCAATCAGTTGCGTACCTTCTTTCCAAATGTAACCTAAAAGCCTTATGTTTTGTACAGAAACAGAAAACAGCAATGTCTTGAATGGTGCACAGAACTTTGGAAATTCCCACAGTTTTTGCTTTGAACAAATCCTCTGTATACAACTATAATACCAAGTTTCCCTTCCTGAACTAAAAAGGAAAAAGCTATTAGGAGTCCAGTTGTTTAAAGTTCCCATTGAATATGATACATTTAGTTCCTTTTGATGTGCACATAGAGGGCAATGAGATCCCCACAGCTCCTAAAGCAAATGATCTATCACTCCTGGGGTGAGTCAGGAATAGCCACCCATAATTCCTTGTCAACTGCCCAGCTGCAACTATAGATTATATCAGTCTGTTTAATAGTGTTCTTTACTGATATTAGTTTTGCGCCAAGAATACTATAAGCATGTAAGAGCAAATGCACAGAGATTATCTTAAGCAGCCTGCTCTCCTTCCACAAGAAGTTACTCTTGGGAGTAAGTCCCAGAATGAAGTGGGACTTCGCTGCCTCCAACAATGCTGTTCCACACCTGAAGCAGACTTCCATTTACACAGTAGAACTTCCCCTTCCCCTCCTCTCCTTTGCAGGGCTCCATGCTTCTTGAATTTCTCTCCTCCAGCAGCACGTTCAAAGCAGCAGTGGGGTAGAGGTGGGGTGGACTGAATAGCTGAAAAAAAGTCAGCCTTTCATGGCACACATAGTCTACATAGTCGAACTGGTATAAGGCTTTGATTTGACGTGTTAACTTTACTTCTGAATTATTTGGAAGCTGAAGCTATTGTTGCAGATTTTCTTAGTTGCTGCACACACACAAAAAACCATCCTAGCTTATAATTGGAAAGCTGCAGCAAACTCTAATGATTATGGAATGGTTAATTAGCATTATGGAGAAAGCAGCCTTGCATTTTGCACATGTAGTCAGATTTCCACAGATGTCTTGTCAACTGATGTCTTTTATTTTCAGTCTTGCACAGAGTTTTTGCTAATTGCTATTTTTTATCATCAGAACTGTGAAGATGTTTGTTGTTCACTGACTTTTACTGCAGCTCTCGCTTTTACTGAATAGATGTTTCACACTTGCTTGCACTGCCTTCAAGGTCACCTGTGAGCTCACTGATTGCCTAAACTCTTTTTCCTGAGCATCTCACAAGTATTAATTTGAGTATGTCTGATGGTTGTTGCCCCACCAGTTCCTCGCTATACCATACAGGATCTCTTCAGTAGCTCACATTCTAGAAGTTCTTGATTGCTTCCGTGATCAGAAGTCTAGTTTTGCTTTTTTCTGCTAGCCTCTAATTATAACCTCCAGTGTCCTGTGTTATATCCAAACCTACAGAATGATCCATCTCTAACCAATTACTTCCCACTCGTGCTTGTAGCTTTTCCATGCGTGATATTCCCCTACTGTTGATTTCTTCCTCCCTACACCTGTAGGACATGGACTGGATCAAGCTCTTAGATTTATAAATTATTCTTCTATATCAGACTTACATTGTACTTTCCATATTACTATCGCAGACTTCTCCATGGTCTGAATAATCAGCTGTTGGTACTTTCGCCAGGCCCTGAGCTAGAATATTGATAATATATAAGTTTTGGCATAGTTTACATACTGGCTTCAGAATTTGCTAACAGGACTTCAGCTATAATAATAATAATAATAATAATTTTATTATTTATACCCCGCCCATCTGGCTGGGTTTCCCCAGCTAAGTGACTCATCAGTTTTCCATAACAATGTCCAAAACAAGTCTATACTATAATATTTTGACAAGGTACAACTGGGTGCAACTGCACCTATGTAGCCACCCAACAGATCACTGGCAAAATTTGCTTTGAAAGTGCAAGCCACCTTTCAGTGTGAGCGATTTTTTCCCTCTACCCATGTAGCCAAATAGGTGATTGCATCACAGGCCACTGCTAGGCACTTGACTAAGTCAAGCAGAATCACACCTGCGGTCCTCAAAGAATTACCAGTCAAACAATGAGATAAAGAACCATTCAACCACTTCCCAGGCCTTTGAGGGACTAAGCTGGTTTTGTTCTGCTGTTAGCTTCCAAAGCTTCATGTGACTGTTAATGGGGGGTAGATATGTGGTGTTTGTGAATGAATTGTCGGTGCTGCATGAAAATGTTGATATTATATATTATTCCCCCTCGCCATGGTATATTACAAGTTGCTTTGAAACCTATTAGATAACAGGCAGCTAATAAGTGTAATAAATAATAAGAATGAACTGTATTAAGGGTCATATTAATAGAAGTTAAAATTCTGAGCTGTGTTGGATCTCAGTTGCATAAATCACAAATCACCTTCAGTGATTCAGGCTCATCTCTTGTAAATAATAGAATGATACAATTACAGGAATCTTCAGCTCATTGTTTGGCTATTGACTAAATGAGAAAATTAGTACAGTACTGATTTAAGAGAGCACAGTTTACACACACACACACACCCACACACACCAAGCAAGCACTCCTCAGAGAAGATGAAAACACATAGTTTAATTTGGGCTGTGACTTACTGTGAAAGTTCCATGTTACAATATGCAGAAATAAACTGAACCACTGTTGTTATGACAGCTTTTGCTAAAATCTATCTCATGGCAGTCACATACTTTCTCAGCTTCAATTAGCACTAAACTAATTAACACACTGCTCTCCCATATACTTGTGAACAGTGACTTTTTTCTTTCTTAGCCAGTCCCAAGTGTGATGTAAGAGTGATTGAGTAGCTAATTACTCTTTAATTGAATTTACACATTATACCCTTTTCACTTGTTCAAGCAGAATATTCGTTCAGAAATGAAATTAAGCTGTACCAGCATGTGAAATATACCCACTGTATTAAAGAAATGAAACATAACTATAAGGAACCACGTGAAAGCGTGTTTTGTTGCATTTATTATACCTGTGTTGAACAGAAGGCGGCACAAACAGCTTTTCGTGTTAATTATAAATTAGGTTAATTGAAAAGAAATGTGTGACCTATAGTTTTCCTTAAAGGTAAAAGTCTCGATATAAAAACAAATCTTAATATGAAAATTAGAAATGCTTTAGGAAAAAGTTTTATTGGAAATTATCAAATAAACACATCCCGACATTAGGTGTTGATTTTGGATATGGATTTATATCCCTTCTTCATATAGTCATGTTATTTATTTTTGTTGGTTTGTTTATTTATGTTCCACCTATATTATAGCACATGTTATATTTGATGAGAACCAGTGTGGTGCAATGATTAGAGTGTTGGACTAGGACAGAGAAGACCCGGGTTCAAATTCCCACTCCTGGGTGATATTAGGCCTGCTCTGTTCTTTCTTTGTAACTACCTCAAAAGGTTGTTGTGAGAATATAACAGAAGGGGAAGAAAACTGTATGTATGCACCTTTAGAGAAAAGGTAACATAAATACAATAAATAAATATTAAAGGCCTGTGTGATGTCCTGACTTGAATGACATTCATTGAATTAGACATTAGCATAACCCTGTCAGAAAACGCTTACAGAATATTGGAAGCTCAGGGTTCCATCAATACATTACATATATTGTCTGTTTTACTTTTAACTGGAGATTATTTTACAGCTTCCAAAAATGTACCGTAATTGCGAAACTATTGGCTGAAAACCCAGGAATTTTCTGGAAAACCAATGAATGTATCATTTGTTATTAATAAGTTTAATCGAGGGAAAGACAGTACTCATCATTTGCAATGCTGTTTAAATGTAATTATGATTTGGCTGACATAGAGATGCATACTCTTCTTGCTATAGTGCATGCTGATCAGTAAACAATATTTCAAATAATTAGTACTAATACATATTGTGGACAGATTACACTGAAGCAAGTTCAAAGGGGCTCATGTTTTTTCAATATTCTGAGAGTGAGATTTGTTACTTCCTAAGTCCCATTTTTCTCTTCTTCGTGTTAGAGAATTCTTTATTCTCCGTCTCTTATCTTTCCCGTCAGGCCTCTTCATATTGGCAGGAGCACATCTGATCCCTTTGGTAGAGACCGTCTGATCTCTAGATTCCAAAAATAAAGAAATACTGACTTTCCCCATTGTTATTTCTTCATTACTTTCAATAAATTAATATTCATATTTTCAAATAGGCTTATGTTTACATTATTAAATAAAAAACAGGAAAGAGAGAAGAATGACTTATGGAAGACCATTCCAGCTACTGAGTTAACATATTGGAAAAAGACAGAATTCTAAAACGTTATGTTTCTCTCCCTCAGGCCACTCCTTAGTATGGCTCAGAAATCCACAAAGGCTTCTAGTAATCAGGATAGAATAAATACATATCGACTCGAAACATCAAGGACTCTTAGAAAACATCAAGCCAGCAGAAATCAACTTATTTAATTCAATCTTATTTCACAGGGATATACTGTATCATGTATAATTGTTTATCAAAGCATATGAATCATAAATCACTTCAAAATGTGTAGGATACAGAGGGAGTCATATATTTACCAGCATTACACAGGTTTTACTATGCACTTTTCAACTCTTATTTTCAAGAGGATGTTAGGGTTCCATCTGCAAAATACTTTAAAAGATGTATTATACCACCTAAACAGTCATGGCTGTAGTTTATTACGGATGGTGAGAGTTGTTGGAGATTCCTGTTCCCCGCACAGAGCTGAAATTTCAGAGTGGTTTACTGTATTTTTCCATGTATAAGACAACCTTTTTTCTTAAAAATTTTAGTAATAGATTGGGGTTCATCTTATATTCAACAACTTCCTTAATTTTTAATTTTTTAAATTTTGGGCTCCCAAAAATAGTCTTATACATGGGGTTGTGTTATACATGGAAAAATACAGTAACAATCAACCCCTCTTCCCCAGGGACTTCTGGGGATTGTTGCTCTCTGAGGGGAATAGGGGTATTGAGGATTCTTTGGGGAAAGCCATAAAGTGGTACAGTACTGCTTTAAATGCATAGTGCAGATGGGCCCTAGAATGGGTTAGCTATGTGTGACAAAAAAATGGCAAATGTTTTTCTGGGGTGTAGTGACGCCTTGCTTTCTGCATACCTGTAGATGCCTCAAATTACCTTCAGGTCTATTCTTCCATTCTCTGATTGCAGAAGTAAAATAGACAGTAACATAAATGAAATAACACTTGAGAAGGATACAATAACTACTTGGACTTTTCCTATATGGGAACAGATTCCAAGATACATTTTCCTTCAGCTCTCCTCCAGCAAAAGCAATAATCATGTATTCAACCAGGCACAAGATGTCCTATTCCAGATGCAGTGGGCATCTTCTAGATCCTGGGCTAGGCCATGGACGACTGACTCAGGTGCTTGAGGTTACCAGCAGCTGGTGGAAATTTGTAATTGGAACTAAGCAAGTAGTGTAGAAGGGTACCAAATGTCTGCCAAACTTAGAACAGCTTCACAGGTAACAGAAGTTGCTCCGATAAAAGCTAAAATTCATCTGAGTTCAGTGCAATCTGAAGGCTGTCTAAGATGAGGTTGAAAGGAACAGTGTGTTCCAGATTGCATCCTAGCTCTGTGACATTGATGAATGGCCTAATGTTCCACATCCAGTCATCTTTACTGGAGAGCCTACAGGGGAACAAACAGTAATAGGTGAGTTGGTGTGTTGATTCAGAATCCCTGCTGGAAAGATCTGGTTGACTGCTCTTGAGAACAGAGTTCAGCAGCATGTCCTCCTGGAAAGTGCTGCCTTTGGGGTGTATTGCCCATTGATCTGTTTAGGTAAGTCTAGGGGACACAGGATTCCCAGGGCAGGATCCCCTAACTCAAGATCACTTTGAAGAGCTCAGTCATGACACAACATGAATACTTTAATATTGTACTGATTACACTTTTTACCAGTTTCTTAGCATTAATGTCGACCCAGCATTGTGACATAGCCATGGCCAGGGGAAGGACCAATACTCCCTGGGATCTTGTGGGGCTTCCTCCTCTTGGGACCATTCTAGTCCTCCCTCACCTTGTGGCTGGAGGTGGGGTTTCCTAGCCTACACACACACACTCAGTGGGCCTCGGTTTTAAAGTCTTCCATTGAGGTATTGAGTGGCTGCTACTTTACAGAGCTGGAAAGTAATCTTACTCTTTAACCACAATTAGCCTTCAAGTTGAGAGGTTTCTTTCACTGGATAGCAGGTGACTCTTAGGCATCATCTACATAGCTGTTGATCATAACTTGGGCTTAAATGGCATTGAGTAGGATCTCAAGCCCCTCTTAAGTTGGGCACACAACTCTGCACTTGAGCTCTGTCTAGGCCAAAGCCAGCGCCATTCATCTCAGGTTACCAGCAGGATTCCAGTCACATGATGTGTACCACATTGGGCCCCTGTATGCTGGTCAACTTGCACAGATCTTAGGGGGTTAATGAATCCTGACCCAATGCCATGCCAACCCCCATTTACCTCACTTTGGTCAACAAATATTGTGGCCTGTTTCCACCCACACCTGTGTCCTGTATTATTTAATCTCTACCTGGTTTGGGAAGCTGACCACAGTGCGCCTGTCAATGTGGTGCTTATTGTGGTCAGTCAAGGATGAAGGGAACCAAAGATTAACAGGATCTGAAGGATAATAAATTGCTGTGTGGGATAAAATAATGTGTGGCAAAACACATTCTTTTGAGTCTAAATTCCTAAATTATTTAATTGGCTCAACTTTCCAGTGAATACCCACTTATATTGTTTTGGATCTAAGTATTACCTTGTAAGTTATGGGCAGGTTGACAAAGCTGTTCCCAAGAATTATTTTTAGATGTTGTTAAGTGTACTGAAAGAGCTTTGTCACTTCAGATCAATATTTTTTAGAAGTAACTCTTGCATGCTTAAAATTCAAAGTCATCTTGTCAAATAACTTTGGTGCTACTGATATTTGAATTACCGGCAGTGGCCTTAGGACATTATTCATTCTCTCACAAATAAAATTTACATGAGTATGTCTGTGACTTCCCCCTCAAGTAATCTCTATGCAGGAATCCAGATGCATTTGAAATCACTCCTTCCAAAAACAAAGTAATTATATTGTGGAACTGCACAGTGGCGTAGCGTGGGGGTGCAGGGGGTGCCGGCCGCACCGGGCGCAACATCTGGGGGGGGCGCGCTCGCACTCGCAGCTCTCTGCCCCTACTAAAATCCACGGGTTAGGGGGCGCAAATTACTTGCCTTGCCCCGGGTGCTGACAACCCACGCTACGCCACTGGAACTGCAGAAGAGTACTATATAATTGAAATTCCAATATGGCGAAGGGTAGGCACACAACGGGAGAACAAGCAAAAATTCAGGAAGAGAGGGCAGTGGCTCCTTGGCTTATGCAGTCATCTGCAAAGTCTTCAGATGTGGGACTCACATTGAACTGAGTGCCAATGCAAGAAACACTGCTATTTCTATGACATGCATGACTCTCTCTTTTCTTCTCCGCTCATGATAGGGGAGACAGCACTCCTCTATCTGTAGGCCTTCAACAGTTGTGTGGAAGAGTGAATTTTGACAGGTGCAGCTTTTCCTGTAAGGATGGAGGCAAACTACACCTGCCCAAAATCTAAGTTGGACACAAACCTTAAAGAGTTCTGCCCTCTTTGCATTTGGTCTCCACTCCCACATGTCCCTTTCTATTTTGTTTTTACTTACCTACATTATGATTATTTCCATTATTTGTCTTTGCTACTGGAAGGCAGCCCTTATGACTCTGTCACTTAGTGGCTGTGTGGGTCTAAAGTTATCTCCTAGTGTTCCATCGCTGCCTTCTAGCAGTTCTGCCCCTTTAACATGTGTCCTCAGTCTTCGAAACTCTTCTATCTAATAAAAACAAGAAAACAGTTGTTGTTTTATACATCAGCTCCTTTGTAAGAAAATGTTAATACTGTTTATTTTTCTCTCTCTCTAAACTATGTCCCACCATTCTACTATTTATGGTATAGTTGTTGTTTTTTTAAAGAAAACCTTATAAAATCAGGAATTTTATTATAATCCCTACACATTCCTACTCCAAATCCTGTAGAAAATAGGGTTTTGTTTACAAGTGAGTTTTCATATGGAAGGACTGAGACATCAGTTCAGTGCTGGTACAGATTCCTAGGCCCAGAATTCTTTAAGTGCCTTGTGTATTTTGCACCAGACTGTGGTTGGCGGATCTCAGGGTTCTAAAAAAAACAAAGTAGATCCCACAAGTTGCCTAGCCGCATTTTGACAGGGCATTCTCTATGATAATGCCCAGCTTGTGGAACTCCCTCCCTGGGAAGGTACGTCTGTCCCCATACAGGCTTTTAAACACAAATGGAAAAACCTATCTGTTCTCCTGGGCCTTTGAGACATGAGTGTTGACTGCAATTTCAGCTGGTGGTATTCTTTTAGCATATGGGTTTTTTCTGTGTTTGTGGTATTGTAACACATTTTCATGGATTGTTTTTATGATGTTCACTGCCCTGGGTTCCTATGGGAAGCCAGGTTGTATAGAAGCAACAACAACAACTTCTTTACATTGATGAGCAGCAGCTTGCCAGGGCTTCAGAAGTGCTTCCCTTCCACACTTTGCTTGGAAAGCCAGGAAATGAACCTGGCACTTTTGGCATACAAAGCATGTGATTTGCTACTAAGCTCTTCCTTAAGCTGCTTTCTCCCCAAGCTCCCACTACATAATGAGCCATTTGCTTTGGGATCCACACAATAGCTCAGATGTTAAATATATATTGCTTAGACAAACCTCTGCAATATGAATTTTCTCTTTTTAACCACTTAGTTCTTATTAATGTTTTCAATTATATTTTAATGCAGTTTTTTCTGATTTTATTCTTATTAGGCTTACACCTTCTTGATATATTTTTATGAAAATGTGGGTTATATGCTAAGCAAGTACAGGCGTACCTTGGATCTCGAACGCCTTGCAACTCGAACATTTTGGCTCCTGAACGCTGCAAACCCGGAAGCGAGTGTTCCAGTCTGTGAATGTTCTTTGGAACCTGAATGTCTAATGCAGCTTCTGCAGCTTCTGATTGAATACATGAAGCTCCTGCAGCCAATCGGAAACTGCGCCTTGGTTGTCAAACGTTTTCGGAAGTCGAATGGACTTCCGGAATGGATTCTGTTTGATAACCAAGGTACGACTGTACCATATTTTTCCATGTATAAGAAGTCCCCACATATAAGACAACCCCTATTTTTCTGAACCCAAAGTTAATGGAAAAAATCACCCCTAAAATAGATAGCATTTGCATTAGGTGTATCATATATTCCACAGGAGGTACGTTCACACCCCCATGCTTTAAAAACAACAACAACAACAATCTATTCTTGCCCTTACCCAGATGACAAATTTTACTCCTCATAGAAAATATTACCAAGGTTTAAAAATGGGGACAGGAGGCTTCTCTGTGTGCAAGTCAGTGTAGGATCAGATTCAACTCAAGATTTATCTTCACATCGGTACAGTGCAAGAACAATGACATTTCAGAAGATAACTATAATTATGGTTGCCATCTACTTCAAAACTGACTTCTTTGAATACGCTTGTTTATTTGAGGAACAGCTTGGGTTGCTAAGATTATTGTTCCTCAGAGTAGTGCTTTTGAAATCCATATTGTTTCTTTTTAGCTTTGAAAGGCAGAATGGAGCAGCTTTCATAGAAGAGATGAAAGGAAGGAAGATGATGGAGGTTCTTGGGAGATACTTAAAAGGGAAAGTTCAGATTGTGAAGATGTTCATTGATTTTATGTCTATTTAAGTGGATTAAGAAAAAAAATAAGTTTCCCTGAAAACGTAAGTATCTTACAGAAGAACAGTAAGATCTTGAGTATCTAACAGAGAGGTAACATGCTTCAAATGAAACCTGAACTGAAACTTCACTAAGATAGTTTGATGTCATTGCAGTTTAGGAAAAAGTGATTTCTCCAACACACTTCAAAAGTTTCAATCTTTGGAGTCTTGGAGAGATAAAGCAAACAAAAATGAGATGAGAAAAAAGCTCCATCACAGTTGCAGTACTTCTGAGTAGTACTAGGAGACCTTCAAATAAATGCATGTTGAATAGAATGCCTCACACTTGTAACAAAAGCTTTATTTTAATGATGTTTTTGATAAGGGAGAGGCTAAACATCATTCAGTGGAAAGCACTTCTCAGTCCTTACCTCAGTAGAAGAAGTGAATACCAGATATACTTAACAACTGTTTACTCCGAACAACCATAACAGAACATAAATGGGCAGAGAAATCCTAAGGTGATTAGCAGGGGGAGGATCTGGCAGAGGTGCCCCTTCACTGGGTTCTTCTGATGAGGGGACTCCACCATGAGTGGCATGCGGTAAAATTTTTCATAGGAGAACAGTTAGGGCCAGAGGTGCTAGCTTGCAAGGGGCATGGGGGGGGGGTCAGTGTCATGCGTGGGATGTTCTGACGTCCTGACGTCATACACGTGAGCATCATGCCTCCCTCCTAAGCCAGGCAGAAGCTTCCCAGGCTTTGTGAAGGAGCTGCCAGGGCTCTGACAGGATGACTGAACCTGCCTCCTTCCAAAAGCCAGATGGGCTTTGGGAAGATGGCAGGACAGCTCTTGGACCCATCAGAGACTTGCGCCTGCCTCCCTAAGCCGGGCAGAAGCTTCCCGGGCTTTGGGAAGGAGACACCAGGAGAACATTTAGGGGACTAGCCTAGTCCCCTTAGTCCAGTGACCACACTGACCACCCCCATGGGGGCCTCTGCTGCACCCACCCAAAGTGCAGCAGGTTGCAGGATACCATTGGAAGTTAAATGCTTAATGTAGAAGCACTCTCTCTCACACACATGCCAGCAAACGTTTTGGGGTGGTCTGCTTCGTTTCACATTAGCTCATCTCTTGTAGCACCCTGCTGAAATCCCATAGCTTTTTATACCACAAATATCCTGGTTTAATTTTGGTTTTGTTGCGCTACAGCCCCTCTGGATACCATTAACGTGGTAGCATTGCGGAAGTTTCAGAACAAAGTAAAGCTGAAGAAATCTACCGCTAATGTACTGTTATTTTGTCAATACTATGTTGCATAATGCATCCCCAATAGAACAGGAGCCCTGTGTCTGCGGGGGGGGGGCGGTCAGACCTAAGCAGGTGGGCATGTTCAGTACCCACAGGAACCCTCACTGCACAAACAGAGCTATTGTGTGCCTTTGTTCAAACAACTAGCAGTAATTATTTAAAGGCAAACAATGACAAGGGGCTACATTTCTTTTTTACTCTGTGATCTTTTTTTGTCTTTCATATATATATATATATATATATATATATATATATATTTGGCGCATAGAATAAAAGTCAACAGAGTTCTTTTTTCCATTTCTGACCTTTCTATTGCTTTCAGTGACACAAAAGATTTAACCTTTATTTTAAAAGCCATGCTCCAACTGATCTAATGAGATCTTCAAGATGAAGCAGGTATCCTGCCCTGCAATATATTTTGCACGCTATAACCTTTCGCTCGGAATTACATTCTAAGGTCATTATAAGCACAGCCATTACCTGAAGTTGGGATACAGTTAAAGGATATCTAAATAAGATCCATGTAACACCTTCGCTGCAGGGGGGAACCGTGAGAGAGCCTTCGTACACCCAGTAATCTCGTAGGAGGGGGTCTGAAATTAAATGGAGGAGATTGGTTTGAAAACATGCCATTATGCTCCATCTTTCTTTTCAAAATCAAGGGCACAATCCTATCTTCAGTCTAGAGCTGTGCCAGGTGCAGCCGGCAGGGGGCATGTTGGAAAACAAGCTTTTGCTGCAGGCACTTCATCCCCAAACTACATCCCTGCAGAGAGATGTTGAATGGAACATCAGACTGCAGTAAACTGCATCTGAATGCTTTTCCCAAGAAGGGTCTAAGATGGGCTGCAATCCCCACTGGCATGAGATACTCTCCTCTCGTCATGGACTACCAGCAAGGGATTTCACTAGCATGCCCCTTCTCAGTTTATGTGTCTCTCTGCGCAACACCAGAACAAGGGCTTTCCTCAGTAAAGCCCAGATTTCCCCAAATCCAGGCAGTCTGAGCAGGTCAGATATGAGGTCAGTCTGTGCTCCTCACTTGCTGCCATCATTGTGCAAGGTGCATTCCATGGCCAGGTAACTACCTTCTAAAGAGGAAACATGCCTAGAGCAGCCATGGTACAGCCGTGGGTTTGCCTCCATCAAAGCTTTCAGGGTCTGGCTGCAGGCACTGGCAGCACCACTCTTGGCCTCCATAGTCTTTTGTGCATGCATAGTTTAGTGGCATACAAATAAGCACTTACCTGGTAATAATGTGTTGGGATTAAAACACGGTATTGACTTGGACTTTCCCTGAAAATTTAACAGAAATCAGTCTTGTCTCTCTTGTTTTTAAGAGAGAGCAGATTTTGAAACAATTGACTATCTAATAAAAATACCAAATTATAAGATAAATTATTTATCAAACTCTCTCTCTCTCTTTTTAAAGTGCTTCTATTTTTACAAAATTATGCTGCCTATGTTGAATATAGCTAAGCTACTTAATAAATCAGAGAACTCAAATGTAGCCTGCAGCTATCATACTTAGTTCATTTCAAAACATTTATAGAAAGCAGAATTAACAGCTTTACCTTATATTGGATGTCTTGCAGAATTTCAGTAACAGCCTTCAGGCCTGAATGCTCTTTTCCTATCTGAAACATAATGCACAATAAATAAAGATAAACACACAGTATTCCCTCCTCTGATGAAACACAGGTTTCAAAGTTCTCAATAAGTGAAGTCAGTTCCGTATTCATTTCCACCAAATTGGATGACCTTTTGCATGACGTTCAAGCAAAGATGCAGAATGAAGTAATTGACAAAAAGGTAAATAGAGTGGACAAGATAAAAACAAGAGTACCAAGCTATCAAACTTCAGGATAAGCCAACTTGCCTATTTTTGCCTTAATGTTTCAGTAATTATCATATGTTATGTCATAATCAAGCATCATTGCGTGACATAGAGAGCAAGGTTATCGTTTGCTCATCTCCCAAAAGTACACGGATAAAGTTCAGATCTTTGGCTCCTCTTGTTCTGAGTGGATCTGCACATTACAAAGAGGGCAAGAATAAATTATTTTACTCCTGGCACTGTATCCTGCCCTTCCTCTGAGCAGTTCAAGGTGGCCTATATATATATATATATATATATATATATATATATATATATATCTCCTCCCCATGCCCCCCACCTTATCCTCACAACCACCTTAGGTGACTAGCCCAAGATTACCTTAGGGAGCCTCACTGCAGAGTTTGAGCCCCAGTTCAAATCTGATATAACCTACTACACAACTAGCACAACTAACTACTACACAGGTAGCTGAAGACCATATGCTATGAACCATGAGGATAATGTGCATGCCAACACCATACACCTCACTCGGGGTTTTGAGAGCTAGAAGTCTTCACAGAGAGCTGGTTCATTGTGACTGAAGAGGTCAGTATGGTTTCACTGAAAGCTGCCTTATACCATATATCCGGAGAAGGCCAGGAAGTCAGCCCTTCAGTCACTTCAGTCATGTTGCGGGGGGTCCTGTGTACATATGGGGCTTCCATAACTCATGAGTAGGGTTGGAGGAGAACTTCAATCAGTTCACATTTAAAACTGAATTTGTCCAATTTGCACTTTCAAAAAATAATAATATGAGAACCATATCAAAGACATTCGTCAGCAGTTGCACTTATCAGAATTTTGCAGTATAATTCTACAACCCAACAACACTTATGAACATGTGTAAATCAGGGGGAAATGTAAATAAAAATGAATGCATTGCTGAAAATAACTTACAGAAATGCATTATGTTAGGGGAAATTGCTTGCAAAAATGTGTATGTTGGTCAAAACTGCATCCAGAACGGTGGTTATTAGGAGAAATCCTTCAGGATTTTTAAAAAAGAAAAATTCACAACTTGCTGGACAAATGTGGAGAACTGAATTTAAGATTGATAAAAATTAGAAACTAAGAAAACTCAAATGTGCCAAGCCTTCCCTCACCCCTCATGATAAAGTAAATGGAGGACACTCCCATCTCAACATTGCAGGGTACACGGGACTCTTGTCAGAAGATTTCTGTTACTTTAGATAAATTTGTTTCAGATGCCAAATTCAAACAACATGTTTAGAAGCATTTCAAGTGTCAAAACATTCACCCCAACCCAGCAAGAGGGATCTGTATGGTTAAACAACCTTATACATGTGTTGCCAGTGCAGACGTACCAGTGCAGATTGCCATCTGTTCAGCTTAGCATCAGATTTGCTTTAAGCCATAGGCCATAACAAGAAAAATGTCAGACAAAAGTAACCACTTAAGCAATAAATAAATCTCAGCGATCAGGGAACAGAGACACAAAAAGCAACTTTGAAACGTACACAGAAAGTTCTTTAAGAGCTTGCTTCTTGATTACTATCCATTTACGAGAATTGTAATTGTTTTGCGGCTGTCAAGGCAAAAGTAGACATGGTGCCAGGAATGCGTTTGTTTTCATTGGCCAGAAGAAATTCTAATTTTATGCAGTGTTGACCAATATTCCTCATTTTTCAGCTGCTTGATAAGAAAGCTATTCCTTGAATATTTCAATGTAATGGAGGAAACTGTCTCATACTGAGTAACCCCACTGCTCAGGCAGAGATGTCTCCTAGCCCTGCCTGGAGATGCTGGGGACTGAAACAGGACAACTACAGCTGGATGAAATCTGCTGAGTGAAGTTGGTTTTCTTCTAGTAGGCCATTAAGCAAAGGGCACCCAACTCTCCATCCAGTTTAAGGATGCAGTGCAGAAACATTTTCAATTAAAATAAAAATACTGAGCAACTCAAAAAAGAAAAAAGGGGTGGGTGGGAGCCCCTTGATTAAATTGAATTGAAAAAGTGGAGAGAGATTATTAAACTAAAGAGTTTTATTTCACAATTTTACATAACTTTCTGAGTAACTCCAAGGTTAGTTCTGCTGAAATTGGAAGGCCGCTTCAGAAGCAATTATGGAAGAGTCCTCTAGGATACAAAACCGAGTGAACTGAGAGCTGCTTCCATTATTTTTAACAGTCCTATTTCTGCATCAGGACCATAATCAATACACTTTTACATTCAAACAGTCTTGGAGGCATTTATAATCATATTATAAAACATGACATATTAATAGAAGCAAAAAAAAAAACCCTAACCCAGAATCAATTTGAAACATAAAGGACAACCCCATCCATACAATATTGAAAAGGCACAACTAGTTATGAAAAGGCAGCCTTCACCAACCTGGTGCCCCCTTGATATTTGAAACTACAACTCCCATCAACCGGCATCAATGTGTTCTTGCTGGCTTGGGCTGATAGGAATTGAAGCTCAAAATATGTGAAGGGCAGAGGAGTAGCCCAACCACCTGTTTGGGCTGCATAGAAGTCTTAGAACAAGATTTGTGTAGTCTTCTTTGGCAACTCTGCTTCCATAGCATACAAGGTAATTTGTTCTGGCTAAAACTGCAATCCTAAGCATACTTAAAGGTAAAGTGACCCCTGACCATTAGGTCCAGTCGTGACCGACTCTGGGGTTGTGGCACTCATCTCGCTTTATTGGCCGAGGGAGCCGGCGTACAACTTCTGGGTCATGTGGCCAGCATGACTAAGCCGCTTCTGGCAAACCAGAGCAGCGCACGGAAACGCTGTTTACCTTCCCTCCGGAGTGGTACCTATTTATCTACTGCACTTTGAGGTGCTTTCGAACTGCTAAGTTGGCAGGAGCAGGGACCGAGCAACGGGAGCTCACCCCGTCGCGGGGATTCGAACCACCAACCTTCTGATCAGCAAGTCCTAGGCTCTGTGGTTTAACCCACAGCGCCACCTGCGTCCTTAAGCATACTTACTTGAAAGTAAATTGAAGTCAGTAGGGCTTACTTCCACATAAACATAGTTAGGGTCATTGTGCACAAATATGGTTCATAAAGGAGCATTTGCCTAGTACTTAAAACAATAAACACTTGTGAATTCTTCTGGAGTAAAGTTGTTTTTCACAGAAACCCCAGACAACCATTACACCCATATCCAGTGCTTTTTTCTAGGGGGACGCAGGGGGACGCATACTTCTAAACATTTTCTGAATGTTTGGCCTCATTGAGGGGCAGTATTTCAATATGAGTAGGAAAATGAGAGTACCCCTAAACATTTTTTTAGCGGGGGAAAGCACTGCCCACATCCCTTTCACTTTGACATAATCAAACCATTCTTTCTCTGTATATATTCCAAGCACCTAAACGGAGAAGCAGCATATTTTGTGTAAAGTTGAATTTAGATCGGCAATTTATATCTTAATATAAAACACCATTCTCACTTAGGAATGTTGGAGAATTCTGGGGGGGGGGGGAAGAGGACGGGAAATTGGCATCAGTTTGCATGTTTGTCTGTGGTCAGGAACAGAAGTCTCTTCGGTGAATATGATTGGTAGTAGTTCACATCATCCATGTTAGTACACAAACAATACGTAATTAATGACTTAAAAAACATTTTGGCATTTCCTTTACGTGGAAATGAAAGGAAGTTACATAAATAGTTATACAAGTCAGAAACCAAAGTGCAGTGGAATGGAAACAGTGCTGATGGAGATGAAAACAGATCAGAATGGGAATTGCTGCCTTCATTCATTGCATTATTCCTGTTCTGATTGCTGTATGTCATCTACAAACTCAAATAAGCTACAAAGCTGAACTTTGAAAACCATATTCATGCTCTTCTGCAAAGAGATAAGCTCTGCCATATCATTAAAAATAAGTCCATTTGCAGCTGTCCTTATTTGAAATATTGTCACTGCAAATCTTAAGTTTCTTTAACCAAGTCATTAAATCTGATCCATTTTGATCTTTCTAAAGTATAGACTTGTTCTAATGCCCACTACAAAACAAAAAATTATGTTATTTTCTCACCAGCCCACTAATAACCCCACACAATCATTTTCATTTCCAGGGACAATTTATAATCTAAGTTTGACTATGTTCAGAATACCTTTCTCTTTCTTCTCTTAAACCTAGTATTTCAAAATATTCTACTGCACATATTATGACATTTTTTGAACACACCGTTTACAAGAAATAGTCATGATAAATGGTCATGAGCTGCCTGCGGCAAAAAAGCAACTAATGGGACTTCCGGGGTGGCGCCACCGGCAATGGCGGACTCCCTCTGAACTGGAGGGACTGGCTCCGCGGTAAACAGGGTCTACTCCGCTACGGCGAAGCGGGGACCCCCTCAAAATCACAGGCGGATGAAGCCTGTGACCGTGGGACTCGGCGGGCACCTTTAGCGCCCCCCCAATCTGCTAAGGAACCCACTAACGGGCTCCGAAGTGAGGAGGGGGAAGTGGCGCGGTGCTGTGAGTCAATCGCTATTTCCATGGAGCGAAGCCGCACAGCTGCTGCCGGAGAGCGCTGCCTTCTTTCCTGGGACAATTTGGACTCTAAAACAAGCACCCGTGAGTACTTAGAATTTGAACAAATGGGATATCAAATAAAGATTTGTGAGAAGGACAGAATCGGACTATAAAAAAAAAAATCTATTCAATTTGGTACGGAGCGGGAAGGGCTAAACAGGAAGTCACCCTCCCGTTCTTTTGTAAATAGAACAAAGCAAAGGCAATTTACACTAGAGCTCAGAAAATCGTTTTTAAAAGAGTGGATTTCAACATTTTAAATGGGGAATCTTTTTTTTTTCCGGACTATTTGAGTAACTGCAAAAGGAAGTTATTTTCCTCCGTCCTGATCCTGGAGCGGGGTGTCAGGACTGACGTGAGTTTACCAAGATAATTGTTTTTTGACAGACAGCTAAAAGAAGAGAAACTCTGTGATTCCACTGTTCCCTTTCGCATTTTAAAGGAATATATATGGACAAAGTATCTTAAGTACTTGGGGGGGGGGGAAGGAAACTTTCTGGCAAAAATAAACATAAGTCTTCCCCCTAGGGGGAGCTTGTGAAGCTGTAACTAACTCCAGGGAATTGACAGCTGTTACAAAATAACCGTGGGAAAGTATTTGACTGTGCAGGACAATGTATTCAGAAGCCTTGGTCTGCGTTTTTTACAAAACAAATGCTCTATTGGAAGAATTACATGATAAGGTGAACTGGATGGCCATTTCGACTAGAAATCTTAAACAGGCAGTGGAATGTTTTGACCAGATGGTGGGAAAATATGTGGAGCCTACTCAGGATTTAAACCAGGAGTGTGTTTTGACAGAACAGGAGGAGTATGTTTTGACAGAACAGACCCAACAGGAGTATGATCCTTCGGACTGGACAAATGAATTTGGAAAAAGCCAGATCTGGAAAGGAAAAGTTCGGTGTGGCTTGGAAATGGGGGGCTGGATTGACCCCCCTATGTTGGGATGTCTGGACTCTTTAAACATGGTAATGGGCTGCGATATGTTTGGGACTGTGAGGGCTCTCAATTTTGGAGGGCCCTTGAAACATGCTTTTAAATACTACATGGAATGCAGCGATGAATATGGAAAAGGGTCTGATCTGACGAGAAGGGTTAAAAACATTATTAAGTTGGAGTTACCACGAACAAGAGACATTGTCAAGCTGGAGTTACCACGAGGAAATAAGGGAAATTATAGTTATAAATATGAAGAAGAGCTGCGGAAGAGCCATGGAAGTGACCTGAGGGCCTCGGACATAAGGTTACCGGGTTAGACTGATGGGAATAAGGACTGACAAATCCCGGAACCAGGAGGAAGGGACGTTGGATAAAGATTGGACTTGTTTATATCTTGCTTTTTCTCTTTCTTTATTACTAGAATGTTTTATAAAGTTGGTGAATGATAGAAAAATGTTGGAAGAAACTACCTGGCTTTAGTAAAGATGCATAAAGAATTATGAAAGAATACTATGAGTATAAGATGCTGGTAAGGTTAAGACTTAAGTTTTAAACTTTAAGGTGTATTTTATTATAGAAAGATAGGATTAAATTAGTCGAGGGTAATGTAATGATAGAATTTTATGAAATATGGAAAGGAAAGGATTTGCTGAGATAATTAATAACTAGAATACAAAGGAAGGGAGGAGGAGGAGGTCTACGAAAGAAGGCAATGACAGTTAAGGGTCTGAAACTAATGAACCTGTTTTGTTTTTGTTTTTTATTCTTTTTTCTGTATTTTCTATTTTCTTGTATTTCTATTTTTTGTATTTTTTATTTTTGTGTAATTTTTGTATCCTTTGAAATTTTAATAAATATCATTTAAAAAACAAAAAAAAACAAAAAAGGAACTAATGGATTTAATGATGATTATGATTATGACAAAGACAGCAGAAAGTTACCTGCACAAATAAAGCAATAATGGCTATGCCGTTCTTCTTCCCCACTGCTTCATCAATGTTGTGGTACATTGTGGAGTTCCAGTGAACTAGATGGAGCTAGAGAGAGAAACAGAGAGGGAGTTACAATATTTTTGTCCTATCTTAGCAGAGGAATTTCCAAAATGGTTCACAAAACAAATTTTAAAACTATTACACAGTAATATAGCATCATCAAACATACTAAAAAAAAAACCCAAGAAAACACTGTAAAATCCATAATAAATCAGCACACTCCTTACGGGGAAATATTATTTCCCCACTGCACCTGAAAAAAAGGAGTTTGCGCCAGACTTGCTCTTTTGGAATTTGGGATGCTGCATCAGAAAAGCCCTTGTCTAGTAGCCACGCACCTAAGTACAAAAGGGAATGGGAAGCTATAGCAGGCCTTCTAATAATATCAGTAAATTTGGCCAAGTTTACATAGAAAAAGGACACCCTTCAGATACCCTAGCCCTGGGACTCCTCTACACATGGTTTTTAACACTAAAAATGAGTTTTAAAGGGTTATGATATAGCCCATGGGTAGACAAACTAAGGCCCGGGGGCCGGATCCAGCCCAATTGCCTTCTAAATCCAGCCCACAGACAGTCTGGGAATCAGCATGTTTTTACATGAGTAGAATGTGTGCTTTTATTTAAAATGCATCTCTGGGTTATTTGTGGGGCATAGGAATTCATTCATATATTTTTTTCAAAATATATTCCGGCCCCCCATAAGGTCTGAGGGACAGTGGACCGGCCCCCTGCTGAAAAAGTTTGCTGGCCCCTGATATAGCCATATACAGTGGTACCTCGGGTTAAGTACTTAACTCCTTCTGGAAGTCCGTTCTTAACCGAAAACTGTACTTAACCTGAAGCACAACTTTAGCTAATGGGGCCTCCCGCTGCTGCTGCACTGCTGGAGCACGATTTCTGTTCTCATCCTGAAGCAAAGTTCTTAACCCGAGGTATTATTTCTGGGTTAGGGGAGTCTGCAACCTGAAGTGTATGTAACCTGAAGTGTATGTAACCTGAGGTACCACTGTAATGTTCTTTAGAATGTTAATGATGTGTTATCAGAATGTGACACCAGAGGGTGCTGCAGAGCTTGCCCCGTCAAATAAGTGGGTAGACCTTGTAGAAAAGGAAGTGAAAACAAATGCCCTTTTGTTTTAAAGTGATATAAAAAAAAATATCGTTCTAAGAACATTTAAAGAGTGAGTATAGATCCAGCCCTGGAGTGTTTAGGGCTTTCTCAGTTGTATTCCCACTGACAGTAGCTGGCAGCTAACGTGCAGATCTTATCTGCCCCATTCCTCCCCCTTGAGCCTTGCCCAGGGTGAGAGGCAAGCGTCCATATGCAGGAATGGCTCCCTTGTGCCATTAAGCCCAGCTGCTGCCTACCAGAGGCCGGAATTGCCCGCTAGGTGTGCAAGAAGAGTATATCACTGCATCTACTCTCAGAATTTGCAATAATCTTTTGCAAGTCTTGTTAACATGTGATAAAGGTATGTTAAGTGTCTTAATCAAGTATATGTTACAAAATGAAAAATGAATAGTGAAACCCAAGCTTCCAAAATTTAAGTGCCTAATTCTAAAGTACTCGCCACCAGGGCTGATCTACCCATAAAGGCAAGGTGAGGCAACTGCCTCAGGCAACCACCTTAGGCAACAGGGGCCACAGGGGCCACAGATCCCAATACAGTGGTACCTCGGGTTAAGAACTTAATTCGTTCTGGAGGTCTGTTCTTAACCTGAAACTGTTCTTAACCTGAAACTGTTCTTAAGCTGAAGCACCACTTTAGCTAATGGGGCCTCCCACTGCCACCGTGCCGCCAGAGCATGATTTCTGTTCTCATCCTGAGGTAAAGTTCTTAACCCAAGGTACTATTTCTGGGTTAGCGGAGTCTGTAACCTGAATCGTATGTAACCTGAGGTACCACTGTATAGATCATTATTCCCCCCTCCCCCCCCTTTCCTGATGTATTTCTTCACTTGCCCCTACTTTCCTGGCAGAGAGAGGGACACCATTTTGTGGTTCACCTCAGGCACCAAAATGTCTTGGGCTGGCCCTACTCGCCACCAGCTAGTTAAGTGCTGGACATTGAAAAAATCTTCACCTGTAATCATAGTATACTTTCCTTTGAGATAGATTATATATATATATATATATATATATATATATATATATCTTCAGATTAAACAATATACAATTATACATCAGGTACTTATTACCCAGCTTGGTATTCAGAAAGAGTGGCATGTTGATGAATATGAAGAAGCAAATTATGCTGTTATACTTCGCTCTTTTCAATTGTTTGTCAATTTTACAAGCATGCTTAATTCTACCTTTGACTAATGTTAAATGATCCATTTAAATACCAAATCCTATGTTGACATTTCAGCCCCAGTCTCTTCTACAGGAAAAGCAATAGAAATGAAACCACATTATTCAGATGGGATATTGAAGTCTATGTGTAATGGGTGCCCCAAGACAAAATGGCAAATTTAGGTTGCACAATTACGGTTGATTTGGTGCTCTTGCAGAACAAACCCAGTTTCTCCTCTGCTCCTAAATCAGACAAGAAAAGTAATGGGAAAATGAACTGGAAAGTGTAGGATATGCAATGTCAGTCAAATCTGTACTACACATTTAAAGCACTATTATACTACTTTCAGTGTCATAGGGAATCCTAGAAACTGCAGTTTAAAGGTACTGATCACACAAAGCTACAATTCCCAGCACCTTGAACAAACTACAGTTTCTAGAATTAATTCCCCATAACTATTAAATTTATATGAGGCCACAGCACACCATACATTTAAATCACTATGATACCACTTTAAACAGCTTCCCCTAAAGAATTCTGGGAGCTGTAGTTTGTTAAGAGGGTTGCTAACAGTTGTTAGGAAGACCCTATTCCCATCCCAGAGCAATGTGCAGAGCGGTTTAACTCTCTCCACAGAGAATTCTGGGGTTTGTAATTCCCAGTATAATTTGGGGGAAGCCATGACTGTTTATGGATGTGGGTGGCGCTGTGGGTTAAACCACAGAGCCTAGGACTCGCTGATCAGAAGGTCGGCGGTTCGAATCCCAGCGACGGGTTCAGCTCCCGTTGCTCGGTCCCTGCTCCTGCCAACCTAGCAGTTCAAAAGCATGTCAAAGTGCAAGTAGATAAATAGGTACCGCTCCAGCGGGAAGGTAAACGGCGTTTCCGTGCGCTGCTCTGGTTCGCTAGAAGCGGCTTAGTCATGCTGGCCACATGACCCGGAAGCTGTACGCCGGCTCCCTCGGCCAATAAAGCGAGATGAGCGCCGCAAACCCCAGAGTCGGTCACGACTGGACCTAATGGTCAGGGGTCCCTTTACCTTTACCTTATGACTGTTTAAAGTGGTATCATAGTGATTTAAATGTATGGTGTGCATGTGGCCTAAGAGGTGGGCGTGACCGTCATCTGACCTCTCTGCAAATGATTTGGAATGAATGCTTATTAAATAGTCAAAAAGAAATCAGGATGTATGCTTAATAAGCAGGTCCATCTGGAAGCAACCTGCATCTAATCTCCTGGAAAGAAATCAAGATTAATGCTCAATGAATGGATTGTCTAGGATTGTGCCTTTTATCGATTGCTTTTGCTCTTGATCGCCACAAGAGGGCACTCATGCCGCCTGACGAGCATAATATATACAGCGCGAAAAAGAAACTCCATGTATGGAAAGAAACTCATTGAATTAAAGAGTTAACGTTTTAGCTACTGACCCTATTGGGAAAACAATGCTCAGTTCCACTCCTATTGTTATCATGTTAAGGTCAACATATACCTTGCCACCAGCGGCTGTAACAATGCTCCAATGGACAATAACCAAGTTTAGAATGACCACTTTCCTGAGTCTCATTGCCCCCTCTTGGATGGCGCTACCACGACTTTCATGACGGGTCACATTTGAGAGGTAAGGATCTGAAGCAGACTCCCTCCCCACCCCCGCACCGAAGTCCCCAAAACTAATATATATCTGGGAGTTATTTTAGGATTCTTAAAAGAAAAGTATGTTTGTTTGTGTGCTCCATAAATGAGAGAAAATATTGTACTCCCCATTAAAAAGAGCCTAACTATTTTGTGCAGGGCAATCACATTTTATCTTTTAACCTGAAACACAAAACTTACTTAGTATACTCCCCAAAAACTTGAGAGTAAGGCTCTGTATACACTGTCCTGTTTAATCTGCATCCGGGGCACTCCTGCTGCTGGTTTAGTCACCATATCGATCCTGTTGTTTCTTAGCTTTGCTTTAAGCAGGTAACGTTGTACTGAGATGGGCACTGGTTGTCGCTTTGATTTTAATTTACAGTTTTAACTGTTTTGCTTTGCTTTGGGACACACCCAGAGAATTCCTGTTTAGGGAAGTGATATAAATGTAGTTAATACATGAACAGACCCAATGTAACTGGCTTGTCCATGTTGCTACCCTCCCATGGCCAGCTATTCCGCATTGAACCAACTAAAAACAAGCAAGTCTGGTTTCCTTTCATGCACATAAAGTTCTCTTGGGTGGGTGTGTGCATATCCAATCATACTTGGAACATTTGGTCCTCTTCCTACTGATATTAATTCTGCTACATCTTTCTTGTCATCCGTGGCCTTGAGAGGTCTTCTGCTAACTCCAGCAGAGTACTTGGCCCCTTCCTAATTCCTCATTTTGCCAGTAAGGCAATATTTTTGAGGACATATGTTCTCCAATTAAGCCATTTCATTTCTGTCCTTGAAGGACCTTACGTTGGCATTCATGACTCTCCTCTTCCACATTTTACCCTCGCAACCCTGAGACCTAGGCTGACAGGGAATAGCCCAAGGTCACCCAGGAAGATTTCATAAATGAATGGTGATTTTAACTCTGTCCTACTGCACTCTAATCCATTTACTATCACCCCACATTCTGGAAAGAAGGCATAGAAGTGAGTAAGTTGGTGGCAGGAGGAATAAAAGTTTAGAGGGGACTTTGTTAATAGTTCTGTGTGGCAGCTTTAAGACTCCAGTTCAGGCTCCAGTCCTATCTGGGAGCGATCCCCATGGAATTTAATGGGGCTTACTTCTGAGTAATATATGGTTATTGCAACATTATCCCATACTAGACATTGTGACAGCAGGGACCACTTCTAAACCAAGGTTGGGAACACACACATACACATATATATAGATCATTTTATATATCTTCCATTCCTGCATATTTTATAACTATTCAAGTCAGTTTTCCATTTTTACACCATTCAAACATTAATTACGCGGTTGAATTTATCTTAATGCAACCAGCGTTTTCAATTGTGTACAATTATTTTCCATATATTCAGTAAGTGTTTTCCACTCTTCTTTAAATGTAAGTTCTTCTTGTTCTTTTATTTTATGTGTAAACCTGTAAGTTGCCAATCCTCTTTGTCTGGGACCTCGCTTATTTTCCATTTGGGGGCTAACAAAACACAGACCACTGTTGTTACATACATAAATAAGCTTTTCTGACACCTTGGAATTTCTGCCTGGGTTATTCCTAATAAAAAGGACTCTGGTCTTTTGGGGAAGGTAATTGTAAACATTTTTTCCAACTCATTATAAATCATTTCCCAATATTCTTTTACTTTTACATGTCCACCACATATGAAAAAAGGCCCCCTCCTTTTCTTTACATGTCCAACACATATCTGATTGTACTTTATATATCATAGCCAACCCTACTCGGAGTTAGGTACCATCTATGAATCATTTTCAAATAGTTAAGGTTGGACATTTTTCAGGTGAGTTAGGCAGTAAGGGCTGTAGTGTCTACACCTTTGCATAGAATGAGAATGGGAAGAAAACCAGAACTTTGGCTTGCCCATGTGACCACACAGGCCCTGCCTACATGGCCACTTTGGGCACACGCCACCCTACCAGGTCTAGGGGTTGTCAGACACTACAGCTTAGCCTAGCACCTCTTTTTAGATAGTGGGTCTGTTAGATAATTAAGCTGTACAACCCTTCTGAAATTCACAGCAATATTTAACCTGTTGCAGCTGTTCATGAAATCATCCGATTCATCTTTGAATAGATGCGGGGAGCAACATGGATGCATGGAGATATAATACACACATATACATATTGCACTGATTTGACTATATGGCTAGTAAACATCAATAACTGATGTGAATATGAACATGCATCTTTTCAAATAGCAGACTCAGATTCCAGGAATTTGCCATTATGTTGCACTGTGTCATCCATCACTCACAGTACAAACAAGCCAAAGATACCAGAAAAACAAGTGAAGGTTATGTACAAGTTGCTCAATCTAAGACTTTGATTTACAGTAGCTCCAAAGTTACTAAGGAACAAAAACATACACAAAAAGCCACACAGGTATTGTGCTACTGAATTATTTCAAGTAGAAGTGGATTGGGTTCTGAAAAAAATATTTGGCTGAATCAGCAAACATTTACAGAAAATAGTTACAATATTTGAGAGACGGTCTTCTATGCCATATAGTTGTTTGTGTTTAAAATAGAGGGAAATATGAAATTTTAAGCAGCTAAATATCCCAGTTGTGGCTGGTACAAAATTGGAAATGTAAGAAGGGGAGGAAATGTTTCTTCTTTGGAAAAATTACATGCAAATAGCATAGTTCCCTGTGGAGATTATGGACTCTCCTTCCTTGAAGGTTTTTAATCCTTCCTTTTAAGGTTGGACGGCCATTTGTCACGGATGCTTTAGTTGCAGGGGGTTGGACTAGATGACCCTTGGGGGCTCTTCCAGCTCTACAGTTCTATGACTTCAAACTTTTATGGGTGCTTCCACATGAGGATTTATTGTAGGATCAGTGCTGCTCATGCATGAAAGGGTTTTTTGTGTGTATTTTGGCAGAATTTCTGTGGGTGCATTGGCATCAAAATGCCAGCCTGCATTCCACCCCCTCCATTTAATCTGGATTTACCCTCTGAAAAGATGGCAAGTTTAAAAATGCTGCTCCCATTTACCTGCTGGCAATATCCAATGAGCCATTTAGAAGTGCTCTGTATTTTGGAATACCAGAACAATTACCATAATTTCAATATCAAAAGAAAATGGCCTGGGGAAAAGCAGTTCTTTAAATGGACTCTCAGTACTACTGATGAAGTTTCAGGGGAAGTTTTTCTCATTTAAAACAAAGCTCACGGTATTTAGACAGTATTTGCTTTTGAAAAATAAGTTTCGTATTTTTAATGTGGGGCTTGCAAAGGTTGTGAGTTCAGAGAACAGAAATATTATATTAAGATCTAAGAGCATGCACTTTAACCCTGTTACCAGAATACACACCAAGAAGCCCAGCCAGGAAATACTATCTCAGGTGCCTGAACTCAGACATCCAGGAATACAAACTGAAGATTGAAATGTAGCTCTCTTGTTCCTCCAAACTGTTCCTAGCTGACCATATCCTCCAAAGAGCAATGAGGTCAATATGAACCCCGCCTCTCTCATTTCCTTCCGTCATTCTTGAAAAGTACATCATTTGTGACAAGCTTCTATGTAGCAATGCCCTATGAAAAAGCCACAGCTCGTTTCCTCTTACTACAGCACCCCAAACAAATGTAAGCATATTGCAATTTGCACACTAAGGCAAGAACGTTGATACTTAGCTCTGCAATTATGGATTGTACCCAGGGAAAGATGAGCCACTCATCTCTCACACTGCATTGGACTGGAAGCAAGTGGAAGCATTTCTCCCCTGAATGCAGGAAAAAGCTTGCTTCCTTTCCAGGCCAATCTGAATTTGATCTACCACCTCAAAGGACAGCTTCACCAAGCAGGAGATGGAAATCTCCTGGCATTGCAAAGCAGGCCTAGGTACACTTGCCCTGGGCCTCAGAGGGCTAAGCCCTTGGGTGTCCTGCCAGGAACCAGCTGCTTTTCTGTTTGAGTTTATAACTGCGTTCAAACAAGACTCCTTCCTTGGGCCTCAGACAAGCTTTGCAGGGGCCTGCTGTAGAGTGATCTGCAGGCAGCCAGAGACCATGGGAGCTTTTGACAAGTTAGTACAGCTGAGAAAGGTCCCTCTTTCAAAAGCTTTGACATTGGATTGCTCAGAGTAGTGCACAGAAAGGGCCTACCACAAAGAAAACCACACAGTGTGGGACAAAAGCTCACGATCCCTTTCGCTACGTGTGGGCATTTGTCCCTGACAATGGTTTTAAGGGGTGCAGATTTTTTTTCCCCATTGATGCAATTCAAATGGAGACAGTTGAATTGAATTTGCTGCTGGCAAAAACACAAAAGGAAAGAAGAACCACAGGTAGAAGACAAACAGCCCACTATCACCACCACCAAGGAGCCCCAGGCCAAAAAAAAATAAAAAGACCTGGGTAGACATTTGCTTCTCATTTGTTTGCTTCCTCCTTTTCCTTTCCTGGAATTTGAAGGGAATGGGTGGAAAAAAATGAGTATTGGGGGAAAGGCAAGTAGGAGGCAAGAAGTTGGGGGTGCTTCTCCAGGGGGTCCTGGTGCTTACCTCTTCTTTAAGAATCCCAGAGCTATACATATTCAGGCCCAAGCTCAAGGAGTTTTCATCACATTTATGGTATATGAGCAGGACATGAAACAGAAACTATGGTAGGAAGCTGACTCAGTAAGTTCAGCTGTTTCTCTCCCACCCCCTTTGAAAGGTCGGTTCACATCATTTGCTAGAAGTATAAGAAACTGGTAAGGACACAGTGACCCTGGATCTGGGCACCAGACGCCAGCACATCACAGGAAGTCTGTGGCAATTCCACGCCATTAGTCCAGACAGACTGAAGAGGCTTAGAGCAGAGGTCTCAGCACCCATTGCACGAAACCAAGAGTAGTAGAGGGATTCAGATGGTAGGTCCTTCCTCTTCCTAGAAGCACATTTCCTTCAGCATTCATTTTAAAGCACATTTAAAGCACATGACTCTCCCCCCCCCCCCGAGTCCTGGAAGCAGTAGTGTTATGTACTGAGTTGAATAGGATCCAAACTGAAGCAGTCTGATTGGTCCTAGAACAATAGGATCCAAATTGCAGCAGTCTGATTGGTCCTAGAACAATGCAGCAGTATGATTGGTTGGCAGGAACCATCCAATCATGCTCCAGATATAAGTGAATCCACAACCTGATTGGCTTACAGTAGAATTCCAGAATTAGCCATGTTAAGGGTGTTTGGAACTATGGTTCCCAGGGTTCTTTGGGGGAAGTGATGTGCTTTAAACGTATGATGTATACACTTAAACCAGGCATAGGCAAACTCGACCCTCCAGATGTTTTGAGACTACAGTTCCCATCATCCCTGACCACTGGTCCTGTTAGCTAGGGATGATGGGAGTTGTAGTCCCAAAACATCTGGAGAGACGAGTTTGCTGTGCCTACTTACACCTATAGGTGCTATAGGTGTAGGAGGAAGCAGCTATTGAGAAATACATCATTGTGAAGCAGGATGACAAAATTCTGGATGCTCCAAAACATTTTTCTGCCTTTTGCATCATACGGTTAAATGATGGGTAGATCCACAACAAAAATTCAAAGAACATCCAATGCACTTTTAAAACACATGACGTTCCTCAAAGAATCCTGGGAACTGTAGTTTTGTCCTTACAGAAATACATTTGCCAGCACCCTTAACAAACTTAAAGAACTAAAGTCCCCAGGATTCTTGGATGTGCGTTAATGTATAGGGAGGATCTGAAACACACCTGGACAAATATGTTTGTAAATTTATTCTGTGGTAGATATCATTACACCAGGGATAGAGACATTGTGGCTCTTCAGATGTTGTTCTGACAACTCCCATCAGCCCAACCAGCTTTGTTTATTAGAGTCAGAGTCCAACAACAGCTGGAGGGCCACAGGTTCACCATTCCTGCCTGACACTCTGTTTTCTAACTTCTTTATTTAAAATTCTGTGCTGCCAACATTAAGGGGGGAAATTGTGGCAGTGAACAGCATAAAATTAATTGCATTCATAAAACAAATACAAAACACATGTAAACACTAGATCAGATTAATACTGCAACATAACTAGATCACCCCTCAGGGAAAGCTTAGGTGAACAGATACATTTTAAGTAGATGCATAAATGCTAATACTATAGGCATTATTATTTGAGCTACTAAGCCTGGGTTTTTTGTAAGTTACGGTGTTGAATTGGGAATACGTTGGAAACAAGTGACTTTAATGGTGTGCTCATATGAAACTACCTAAACCCTTAGATAGTCATCAGAGGTCCTTAGTCATCTAAACCCTTAGATAGTCACCACCTCAGCTGTAGCTCCCTGTCTGTGGAATGCTCTCCCCAGTGAGGTTTGCAGGGCACTAACAGCATATATGGGTGGCTTCATAGCTCAGTGGTTAGAGCACTGGTCTTGTAAACTAGGGGTCGTGAGTTCGATCCTCACGGGACACGGGTGGCACTGTGGTCTAAACCACAGAGCCTCTTGCGCTTGCCGATCAGAAGGTTGGCATTTTGAATCCCTGCCACGGGGTGAGCTCCCGTTGCTCGGTTCCTGCTCCTGCCAACCTAGCAGTTCGAAAGCCCGTCAAAGTGTAAGTAGATAAATAGGTACCGCTCCGGCGGGAATGTAAATGGCGTTTCCGTGCACTGCTCTGGTTTTGGTGTTCCTTTGCGCCAGAAGCGGCTTAGTCATGCTGGGCACATGACCCGGCAAAACTGTCTGCGGACAAACACCGGCTCCCTCGGCCTGTAAAGTGAGATGAGCGCCGCAACCCCAGAGTCGTCTGCGACTGGACTTAACTGTCAGGGGTCCTTTACCTTTAACAGCTTTTTGGTGCCAAATAAAATCTTACCTTTCCCCCAGGACTTTGAAATACTGTTGTTTTTGTTTTATGGTTAGTGTGCTGTCAGAGCTTCTCATTGCTTGGGGGGGGGGGGTTGTATTGTTTTTTATATGTTGTATGAACTGTTAGTGTTTTCTATTACAGTATTTTTTCTATGGTATGTTTTTAATTGCAAGTAAGTCTCTTGGAGACCTTTGGGGCTTATTGAGCCAAATATAGGAGTTGACTTCAGCATAGTAGTAATACCTAGATGACGTCTTGAACCTACAAGTGCTACAGTGGTTTTAAAAGCCTTTGCTATTTAGCCTAATAGAAGCAATGGTGGGAAGCTATATCTGTTGATCAATATCTATTATAAACTACTTAACATTTTAGCAAAATGTAAAGTTGGAAAACCAGCTTCTATAAATAAAAATAACATCTAGTAATTTACAAGAATCTACATTAGTACCAAGTTCAAAACTTATCTAGATCAATTGAGAAAGCCACTAAGGATCCTGATATGATAACTGAGCTCCATATCTTCACAGGAGTTCATTCTGACTTGGTGATACTAGAGCATTCAATTTCAATAAAGGTGATTTAAAACAATATATGTTAGCCATTAACCGCCTGGAGGAGGAAAGGAACAGAATTAAAATTCATAGAATCAGTATGTGGGCTGCTTAAGAAAACAGCGTAGTGGTATTTTGGCATTGCCCAAAACAAAAAAAAACATTTTGCATCAAAGAGCAAATGGAGAATGGCAAGGGGCAAGAGTTCAGCAGAACTAAAGACGCATGTTTCAAAAGTGAAATTTAGCCAAAGAGAAATAAAACTGAACAAATGCAAATCTGGGGGAAATGTAGGCTGTTTTTCCTGTTCTCCTTTCTCCATGGCAGCAGATATTTTACAGGCTGTGGGAGCAACACTGGTTCTGTTGCATTAGAGGGGGCTGTGACTGAAGCCCACATGGTCTATGAAGTGAGGAAAGAATAACCATTGGGTAATCTGACCCTTTGTTTTGGTGAAGTACAGAATCCAGTATTATCAGCACAGTTCCTAAGCTGTGGTGGACTCATAGCTTAATTGTAGACCATGTGCTTTGTACAGTGGTACCTCTGGTTACATACTTAATTTGTTCCAGAGGTCCATTCTTAACCTGAAACTGTTCTTAACCTGAAGCACCACTTTAGCTAATGGGGCCTCCTGCTGCTGCCGTGCCACCGGAGCACAATTTCTGTTCTTATCCTGAAGCAAAGTTCTTAACCTGAGGTACTATTTCTGGGTTAGCAAAGTCTGTAACCTTGAGCGTCTGTAACCTGAAGTGTATGTAACCCGAGGTACCACTGTATTCATAAGTTCAGTCCATTATCTCTCCAGCTGAAATGCAGCAAAATTGGGGAAATTCTCTGTGGGACACTAGGTAGATAATAGTAGGCCTTATAGCTGGCATTTGTCTGTCTCGGGAGAAAATGGAGGAGTGCACCTTTGGGGATGAAGTCAAATTGTTGGAGAGTTCCAGTGCCCACTTTGGCTGTAGACACCAATACAGAAGAGACATGTTTTGTTGAAGTTGGGGCAGATGCTTGTTCTCTCTGCACTCATCCCAGTGGTCATTTCTCCTCTGGTCACTGCTGTGGATACACAATCTGACGGTCTGTCTCCAAGCACTGTACAGTAGTATCTCGGGTTAAGAACTTAATTCGTTTTGGGGGTCCATTCTTAACCTGAAACTGTTCTTAACCTGAGGTACCACTTTAGCTAAGGGGGCCTCCCGCTGCCGCCGCCACGTGATTTCTGTTCTCATCCTGAAGTGCAGAGTGTTTGAGGACCGGGACATTTGCAGGGAAACCAAAATGCTTGTTTACAAAGCTATTGTACTACCAACCTAACTGCAAGCTTGTGAAACATGGACCACTTATAAATGTCATCTCCAACTCCTCAAAAGATTCCATCAACGGTGTCTCTGAAAAATTTTGCACATCACCTGGGAAGACAGGCGAACTAATGCCAGTGTACTGGAAGAAGCAAAGATCACCAGTGATTCTTCAACATCAACTTCGTTGGACTGGCCATGTTGCCTGATTATCATCTTCCAAAGCACCTACTCTACTCCCAACTTAAAATTGGTAAGCATAATGCTGGTGGTCAACATAAGAGGTTCAAAGACTCTCTCAAGGCAAATATTTAAAAATGTAGTATAAACACCAACAACTGGGAAACACTGGCCTGCGAGCGCTCCAGTTGGAGAACAGCCTTTATTAAAGGTGTCATGAGCTTTGAAGATGCTCAAACTCAGGACGAAAGGGAGAAGGCATGCTTGGCAAACCCTCACCATGATCAACTCCCACCTGGAAACCTATGCCTCCACTGTGAAAGGACGTGTGGATCCAGAATTGGCCTCCACAGTCACTTACGGACTCACTGTTAAAACTGTGTTTATGGAAGACAATCTTACTCAGCTATGAGTGATCCCCAAAGAAGAAGACTGGTGTAGCTGTAGCCACAAGCATTACTATAGCAGCAGTCCATCTAAGTAACTACATGGCACAGATGAGCATGGAAATGGGACAAGGAAAGAAGCTGCAGCACAAACAACAGTTCCTTACAGCTTTCCAAAAGCCACTGGAGCACCCCTGCCTTCATGCATGATGCATCTGATTGTAGACTCTACAAAAGTTCAAGCTGCAATAAATTAGTTAGTTTTCCCAGCTGGCCACGGGAATCTTTGTTCTGTTAGCTGCAATAGATAATTACATGGCAACTTTCCCAGAACTTGCCTGCACTGTGCCAGTGAAAAGGCATCGCAGCAAAGCATTTTCAACAAGCAAGTGGAGAAAAACTGTAGGGTTCTGCCCGCTGTATGTAACTTGCAACTGGGCAAAGTTCCTCCCTGAAGTGTTGCAGCTGAACTGGCAGCATAACATCACACTGCCAGTCTGTAAAACCATTGGAAATTTCTTACATATTATATGGATCTTAGTGTTAGTGGTTATAACTGAAAAACAAATTAAAGGAATCATGGTTCAACACCTGATTAAATCTAAGTATTCTTATATAGTCATCTCAAAGTAGCAGGATTTGAATTGTTTTTGCTTGATTGGACAGTGGAGATTCCAGCCCATGTCATCCTAAGGAATTAAGTGGAACTAAATCATCTTTTTTAAACTCTGGACAATTTGTTCCACTCTGAACCTCAAGGCACTGCATGAAAACAAAATCCTATGCAATCCAAATCTTTGATCTGAACATTTCAGTGTTCTGGGTAGTAGGTTGACTGACTCCATCCCATCTTATAGCTGGATTCCTGGCAAAGTGTCTCTTTGATTCCAAAGAATTGCCATTTATTGAGTCCATGGGCAATTTTTCAAAAGATATTATGGCACCATGCCTTCCATTTATTTCAAGCTTCTGCTCAAATTCTGAATGAGTACAGGTGCTCATTGTCATGGCCATTGACCAGGACTCCTTGGAGGCGCTGTCCTTCAACAGCTGCAGCTCTGAGGAGGAAATGGATCCACCCCCTTGTTTGTACAATGTGGGTCTGCAGGCACCGGAGCCTGCCTCCCTTCCTCTGAGCCATGAGGAGACATTGATGCCACCAGACTCTGATGGCCTGGTCCACAGACTCCTTAGGCGCTCCAGAGAGCCCTGAGATAGGAACCACACAGCTCCCCACCTCAAAGGAATGACAAAAGAAGGTTCCAGCCCTTTAAATGTCAAGTGGTGGGGCCTCCAGTCAATGACTATGTATCCCAGCCAATAAATTCAACCAGTTGCTCCAAGACCTCACTAAAACAACTTGAATGTTTGATCCCAGCTTCAGGGGCACAGTTGGTTGTCCTGAACCAACACCTTGACTCCAACTCTAAAGCTTTGCCTTGCCAGTCAGGAACTACTGACCTCCTCTGTTGCACCATCACTTCTCTCCGAAGTGGTGAGCATCCCTGTGGATTCTAGGCAATCCTATTTTCAATACTTTTTTGGCTCACAAAGTTTCAGGGTAGACATGCTGCTTTGTTCCCAATTGTTGCATGTCCCATAGCTTCCTGCTGAAACTCTGCGACTTTTCATACCACAAATATTTTCGGGGTGTGCTTTTGTCCCACTTTTGTTGTGCTGTAGCACAATGGTGCTCCTCCTCCACAATTTAATGGAATGATGTGTGGACGGTCCAGTCTAATCCCACCATTAATGCACTATTAGCACATCAATGACATGTTGCCAAATTCACACACTCTCTCTCTCACACACACACCCAAAAAAACCACCAGCATGGAGGAGCCCTTTGAAGAGTTGTTAAAGGTAAAGGGGACCCCTGACCATTAGGTCCAGTCATGACCGACTCTGGTGCTCATCTCGCTTTATTGGCCGAGGGAGCTGGCGTACAGCTTCCAGGTCATGTGGCCAGTGTGACTAAGCTGCTTCTGGTGAACCAGAGCAGCGCACGGAAACGCCGTTTACATTCCCGCCGGAGCAGTGCCTATTTATCTACTTGCACTTGGACGTGCTTTCAAACTGCTAGGTTGGCAGGAGAAGGGACCGAGCAACGGGAGCTCACCCCGTCTCAGGGATTTGAACTGCCGACCTTCTGATTGGCAAGTCCTAGGCTCTGTGGTTTAACCCACAGCATACCCACGTCCCTTGAAGAGTTGTTAGGTACGAACAAAAAATTGTTCATACCTTTAAAAAATAGATTTTTTTTTAAAAAAGGATAGACAAACCTTCCCCCAAACTGTCATGAGGAATGCACATGAACAAAGCCTTCCCAAAAGAACGGAATATTAGAAACAGTTAAAAATATTGATGCAGAAGAAAGGCGGTGTGCTTCACTTTCTCCCCCCATCCTTAGAGATGGATCAAGTAACTCTGATAAAACTCTACTGCTCATGTTGATGACTAGCTTACTGTGCAATCAGTCCTGCCAGCCTACAGCACTTTGGGGCTCATCCTCAGAGATATGCATTTTATTCAGTTTATTTATACTTTGTCTCCCAGGACAGCTCACAAAAAGTTAAACATTACAATAAAGCAGGTGCATACAGTATCTCACCAGTCTGGAGCTGACTAAGCAGTGTGCTTCACAGCCAGTTCCTCTCTGGCGTGGCAGCATCGAGCTTCAGTGCCAACTATACAGTAAGGAAAGGGGGTGGCCCCTAGGTTGCCACCATCCCCTCCCACAAAAACCCTTTCCAATAATTGCCTTAAAGAACCACTAGTTCTCAGCCTCCTGACTCACTGAAAGCTTTGCAGGAAAATGATCCCCATTGAATATAAAAGCTATCCATTTTCAAAGGACTTATAACGAAATCCTGCTAAAGATCACTCTGTTTAGGCTGCAGTTCTATATACCCACTAAAGGTAAAGGTAAAGGTACCCCTGACCATTAAGTCCAGTCGCGAACAACTCTGGGGTTGCAGTGCTCATCTCGCTTTATTGGCCAAGGGAGCCAACGTTTGTCTGCAGACAGTTTTTCCGGGTCATGTGGCAAGCATGACTAAGCTGTTAGGATATTTCCGTTCCACCTTAAAAAGGGGACAGGCTGTTGTGAGTCACAGCCTACGTATTTCCTGCTTACAGGAAGTTTCTGTTTGTCTATTGCTTTCATTTCTCTCTTTGTGCCTGAGACATCGAAGCAGGCAGTCATGTTTTTTTCTTTGTTCTGACCAACGCTGAATAAACTTGTAAATATGCTCTCCTGAGTGCATCTTTTTTTTTTTTTTTTTTAAAGATATTTATTGAAATTTTTTTAGAATTACAAAAAAGAACAAAGCAGAAAAAGAAAAAGAAGGGGGAAAAAACAAAGAAAAAACAAACCACATCAAACAATACATATTCAAAAAACAAAAATACACAGCAAACACACAAAAACAAATCCATCATTCTCGAATCCTCAACTTTCATTACCTTCTTTCTTTGACCTCCTCCTCCTCCCTTTTTTTGTATCCTAGTTATTAATTGTCGCAGCAAATCCTTTCCATATTTCATAATATTCTGTCATTACATTACCTTAATCTATTTTCATCTTATCATATAGAGAACCTTAAAGCTTAAAACTTAAATCTTATTTTTACCAACTTCTCATAACCATAATATTATTACCTAATTCTTTAAACATTTTTGCTAAAGCCAAGTAATTTCGTTCCAACATTTTTCTAACATTCATCAATTTTATAAAACAATCCTAGTAATAAAAAAAAAGAAATAAAAACAATCCAATCTTCATCCAGCGTCCCTTCCTCCTGGTCACGGGTTTTGTCAGTCCTTTTTATCCCATTAATCTAGCGCATTAACCTGGTAACCTTATATCCGAGGCCCTTAAGTCCCTTCCATGTCCCTTCCGCGGCTCTTCTTCATATTCTCCTTTCACTCGTGGGAACTCCAGCTTGGCAATGTTTTTGACCCTTTTCAACAAATCAGCCCCTTTTCCATAGTCCAGACTAAACTCCATGTGGTATTTAAAAACATGTTTCAGAATCCCTCCAAAATTAAGAGCCCCCACAGCCCCAAACACCTCACGGCCCATTGCCAGACTTGGAAAGTCCAAACATCCCTGCATAGGGGGGTCTATCCAACCCCCCATTTCCAAACCAAACCAAACTTTTCCTTTCCAAATCTGGCTTTTTCCAAGTTCATTTGTCAAGTCCAAAAGCTCATGTTCCTGCAGGGCCACAGCTCCCTCCATCTCTGGCGCCCAAGATTCAGCAACATCCTCTTCTCTCATCTGTTCTGTCAGGGCACACTCCTGGTTTAATTCCTGGGTGGGCTCCATATAGTTTCCCACTGCCTGTTCAAAAATTCTGATCAGTCATCAAATCCGTCTTCTCATTTAATTGTTCCAGTAGGGCATTTGTTTTACAGAGAGCACACAACAGAGCTTCTGAATACATTGTCCTTCAAGGTCAAAAGTCTATTCCCACAATTGTAATCTGTAACAGCTGCAAGCTCCCTGGAATTGGTTACAGTTTCACAGTCTCCCTCTAGGGGGAAAACTTCTATTAGTTCTTTCTTTTAAGGACAAATCTAGCAACAAAGTTTCCTTTTTCAGATATCTTGTCAATATTTGTTCCTTTAAAATGCGAAGGGGAACAGTGGAATCACTATGTTTCTCTTCTTTTAGCTAACTGTCAAAAACGTTTGTCTCTGGTCAATGAGCTCGAAAAGACGTCAGTCCTGACACCCCGCTCCAGGATCAAGACGGTGGAAAGTTACTTTACTTTAAACTCACTTCTGCAGGTTTAAACAGTCCAAAAAAGATCCCCCTTCTTCTCCTGCTTCCGAAGGGGGGTTCAACAATTTTAAATGATGAAAGTTAATCTTTTAGAAGCGATTTTCTGAGCTCTAGTTTACCTTGTCTTTGCTTTAATCTGTCTACAAAGAAACGGAAGGCTGACTTCCTGTTTAGACCTTCCTGTTTCAGTGCCAAATTGAAATAAATTTTTAAGTCCAATTCCTTTCTGCTCGCAAGACCTTATTTAAAATCCAATTGTCCGAAATTTAAGTACTCACAGGTGATTATTTTAGAAGCCAAATTGTCCCAGGAAAAAGGCAGCGCTCTCCGACAACGGCTATGCGGCTTCGCTCCACGGAAGAAGCAGTTGACTCTCAGCACCGCGCCACTTCCCCCTCTTCGCTTTGGAGCCCGTTAGTGGGTTCCTTTGCGGGTTGGGGGGGCGCTAAGGGTGCCCGCCGAGTCCCATGGTCACAGACTTCATCCGCCTGTGATTTTTGAAAGGGTCCCCGCTTCGCCGTAGCGGAAAAGACCCGTTTCGCGTGGAGCTAGTCCCTCCAGATCAGAGGGAGTCCGCCATTGCCGATGGCGCCACCTCGGAAGTCCTCCTGAGTGCATCTTTCATTGTGCGAACTCTGCTGATAGAGCGTGCACGAGCTCTGGAATGTGGAAAGCTATTTCCGAGGCTTCGTGTCACTAATTGACTGATACTGCGTATGTACGGGAGATCGATGGATCGTCCGGCATCGGCGTGGGGGCATGATGGACTTTGTCTCCCTGGCAGTATCCCAACAACAGGTTATGGGCCCAGATTCATGGCACTTACAGGAGAGTAAGACTGCAAAAGACTGCTGTGAGGTATGTGTGGGGAAAAGCGAAAGTAAGGCTTTTCTGTTGCCGCGGCACAGAGCCTTTGATGTCCGGCTGGCTTAATTGGCCTGGGAGCCGCGCCAGAGGCTTTGTGATTAATGAGCTGCCGAGATAAGAAGTTTTTGAAGGCATAAAGGCTCACGGCTCAAATAAAAGCCTGGAATGGAGTTTTTCCAAGCCTCTGAAGGCACTGAGTGCCCAAAGTTAAATCGGCACAATTATGAGACCTGGGCTGTGTGGTGTGAGAGTTTACTACGATAGTTTGGAGTGTGGCATACTGTGTGTGAAGCCCCTCCAGTTCCTCTGACAGATAGATGGAGGGCCCAAGATTCAAGGGCCATAGACGTAATTGTCTTGTCCGTCTCTCTGGAGGAAATTGCTACGCTAGCTGGCAACACGACTGCACATCAGATGTGGAATGCTTTGAAAGTAGCTCATCTGCCGGTAATCCCAGCCCAGAGTTTGACTGCATCGGAGGTCCTGGCTGTTTCCCAGAATGCGAGTGAATGCAGGGATGCCGAGGGCACCGGTTGCAAGCTGCAGGGGGAGCTGACTGTGATGTCATCCCAGGCAGCATTCCAGCCTCCGGGGGAGCCAAGGAGTCGGCAGCTGAGAGCTCTGATTCCCATGAGAACCAAGGTCATCGTCTTTGCAGAGGCCGGAAGGCCAGAAGTAAACAGAGACAGATGCCTGCAGATGGCCCGAAGCAGAAGGGGGGTGAAAAGCCCAAGCCAGTGGAAAACAAGGCTTTGTTTGCTGGCACAGCTTCACCAAAGGCTAAAGGCAAGTTTGATGGCCAGGAGCAGGGGGGCAAGCAGCAAAAGCCCACGCCGGTGGAAAACAAGGTTTTGCTTGCTGGAAAAGCTGCTCCAAAGGCCAAGGCCAGATTTATTATTGACTCTGGAGCCACCCGCCATCTAACAAAGGATCGGCACCTTTTTATCTCCTTCACACCTCAAGATGGAGAGATCCACCAGGCTGATGGAAAGACGTTGCGAATCGCAGAAGGGACTGTAAAACTGGCAAGTCTGCACACAACCATCAAAGATGTACTTTATGTTCCAGGTGCTGCAGACAATTTGCTCAGTGTCCCACAGCTGACTGGGCGTGGCTTTGAGATTTCCTTCAAGAGGAGCGTCTGTGTCATCAGGAAAGGCAAAGAGGACATTTTGCATGCAAAGTTTATAGATGGCTTGTTCAGTATAACTTATGATGACAATGCTGTTGCTGTGTCTAATGTTGACTCTTGTTGTGTTGCACAGACTAACAAAGTTCTTCATGCAGGATGCATTCACGAGGCACACAGAAGGTTTGCTCACATGTCTTGGCAGGCACTGGCCAAGATGCCTGAGTTGGTTCAGGGTTTGAACATCAAGCCCTGTAAGTATCACATGAAATGTGTATCTTGTGCAGAGAACAAGGTGAAGGTTGCTCCAAAAGGGCGGCGCTGCTGCTGATGTCAGCGACAGTGATGACACAGCAGACTACAAGAGCGCAAAGGCCTCAGTCAGACCATCTGATGCGTCTGACAATGAACTGGAAGAACCACTGTTCACCATTGGTCATTTTTCTCCAAAGAAGGAGGAGATGAGTGCAGAAGACTTGCGTATAGTACGCAGATCTGAAAGGGCCACGAAAGGCAAAGCTCCAAAGAGATTTGCTGATGAGTTTGCTAAGACAGCAACTGCTGTTCTTAGTAGCTCAGAGAAGGTATGGGAACCTTCAAGCTTCAAAGAGGTTCAGGAGTTAACCTCTAAAGATGCTGAGCCTTGAATTAATGCCATGAAGGCTGAAGTTGATTCCTTGAACAGGAACCAAACTTGGGAGCTGGTACCGGTAGTCCCAGGAATGAGACTGGTTGGCAGCAAATGGGTCTTCAAGGCCAAGACAGACCAGAATGGCAAGATTGTCAGACACAAAGCCAGATTGGTTGCCAGAGGTTTTTCACAGGTACCAGGACAGGATTACCACGAGACCTACTCACCCACCGTCAAGTATGAGAGCATTCGGCTGATGCTCAAGATTGCTGCAGAGGAGAAACTGCATGTTTCCCATCATGACATTAATACAGCTTTTTTGTACGGGGTTTTGGGGGAGGAGCTGTATATGCTTCCACCTGACGGGATGCAGATACAGAAGGGAATGGTCTGTAAACTTCGGAAATCCTTATATGGTCTCAAGCAGAGTGCCAGGTGTTGGAACACAAAACTCACTGAGACATTGCTTTCTCTAGGTTTTCACCAGGGCAAGGCTGATCCGTGTGTGTTTGTCAAGGAGGAGGGGCAAAACAAACTGTATTGTTTATGTTTTGTTGATGATCTTCTGATGTTTTGGAAGAATCAGGCTTTGTACCAAAGCACCCTAGCTCAGCTGAAGGAGCACTTTGACATGAAGGATCTTGGTGAGGTATCCAACTATCTTTCTCTGCAGGTGGAGAGGGACCAAGCAGGTAATTTTCTGGTACACCAAACACAGAAAATTGCTGATGTATTAACCAGGTTGAATTTGGTTGAATCAAACCCAGCAGACACACCAATGGTGACAGGTTACCAGGTAGATAGTACTGCTGAAGCGTTTTCTGACACTACGCTGTACAGATGCATTCTAGGCAAGCTGAATTTCATTGCTAGATGTTCAAGACCTGACATAGCTGTAAGCACTAACCTGCTTAGCAGACATGCCAACAATCCTACTGTTCAGGATTGGAAAGCTCTGAAGCGCATAGCCCGCTATTTGAAAAGGACTTTTGCACTACAGGCTGAGGTTCACCAGTCAGAAGACTGGAGGTCTTGAAATCTTTGCAGATGCTAGTTTTGGAAGTGACACCACGGATGGTACAAGCACTTCTGGAGTATGCTACATGTACAACCACTGTCTGTTTGACTGGCTGTGCAAGAAGCAGATGACAGTAAGCCTAAGTTCCTGTGAAGCAGAACTCAATGCTCTGTCATTTTCACTCATGGATTGTGAATGGTTGATGCAACTGTTTAAGGACATCAGAGTGTCTGTGAAATGTCCTATACAAGTGTATCAAGACAATAGATCCTGTTTGGCTTTGCTGAACTCAGAGAGTTGCAAGCAAAGGACCAAGTACTTGCAGATTAAGCTACATCGTGCAAGAGAGTGTATTCAGAAAGGACTCATTCAGGTGTCCTACATGCCAGGAAATGAAATTCCTGCTGATCTGTTGTCTAAGGTTGTTAACAGAGAACAACTTAAGGTTTATGTACAGAGGTTGCAATTGGGTTGAACCACAGGTACTACAGGTTGCACGGAAAGGGGGAGGATGTTAGGATATTTCCGTTCCACCTTAAAAAGGGGACAGGCTGTTGTGAGTCACAGCCTACGTATTTCCTGCTTACAGGAAGTTTCTGTTTGTCTATTGCTTTCGTTTCTCTCTCTGTGCCTGAGACATCGAAGCAGGCAGTCATTTTTTTTTCTTTGTTCTGACCAACGCTGAATAAACTTGTAAATATGCTCTCCTGAGTGCATCTTTTGTTGTGCGAACTCTGCTGATAGAGCGTGCATGAGCTCTGGAATGTGGCAAGCTATTTCTGAGGCCTTGTGTCGCTAATTGACTGATACTGCGTATCTACGGGAGATTGATGGATCGTCCGGCATCGGCGTGGGGGCATGATGGACTTTGTCTCCCTGGCAGTATCCCAACATAAGCCGCTTCTGGCGAAACCAGAGCAGCGCACGGAAACGCCGTTTACCTTCCTGCCAGAACGGTACCTATTTATCTACTTGCACTTTGATGCGCTTTTGAACTGCTAGGTAGGCAGGAGCAGGCACCGAGCAACGGGAGCTCACGCTGTCGTGGGGATTCAAACCGACGACCTTCTGATCAGCAAGCCCTAGGCTCTGTGGTTTAGACCACAGCGCCACCCGCATCCCACTTACCCGGGAGTAAATCCCCTTGACAAGTAGGCCCAGCCGTGTATAATGATCTAAGCCCATGACATGCCAAATTATGAAAGATAGCAGCGCACACCCAGAAATGCCAGGCATGAGTGAGCTTACAACTTGAAATGAGAGATAGCAAGCAAATACAATAGACAAGCCTCAAACTAACAGTGAAATGTTATTGCAGTAAACATAGCAGCAACTCGGTGAGATGAAGCTGATTATATGTCTGGAATGATAAAGTGGGCAAAAGCAGGAAAGCTCTGAATAGGAAAAACGGCCAGTTTGAGAGAATGGATTTGTTGATAGGATAGTGCCAAATCAGTGTTTGTTCAGAACATTGGTTTTGGGGAAACGATGAATAGTTAATGATATGGAAATCTCAGAGACCACTGGAATTATTTCGTGCTTAATTGAATGGGGCATTAAGCACCACACAGAACACAGATTTTACACCATTCCTATCCACAGAGCAGCTGCAACAGTTTTACAGGCAATGAAGTTAAGATTTGTTGTGAATTTGGAGCAAATGGTCAGACAGAATGCTTGCCTGAAATTCAAAATATTTCAAGAAATAAACTGACCTGATCTATTCACTCTTCTTAACATTTCAGGAAAAGTTCTATGTACAATGTTAACAACTGCAACAGCAACAACAAAAGTTCTGGTGCAGGGAAACAATTGTGGAAGATAAAGTAGAAGTGGGATATCTTTACTTTAATCAAAGAGTGTACATGTTAGTAACCTCATCTCAAACCAAACAGAATAAATATTTTTTTTAAGTAGTATGGCATTATCAGAAGAACTTCCCACAAGGGCAGAGATTTAATATGGTAAGCTGTTTTATGCTAGTCCAGGCTAGTCCAGGCTAGACACCTTGTCAGGGAACAGGTTTCCAGAGTCTCGGGTCTTTGTCACTACCTAAGATCTGTTTCCTTTCCTCAGCTCCCATTTCCTGAGGGTGGATCAGCTTAATTTGTACAGCACACACCTAATGGGACTGCCATGTAATGCTGGAAATGAATTTTCAGCCTAGCATACTATGTGGCATGAGGAAATTTTATTTTTCATGAATATGAGATTAGAGACAGTGCTTTTGACTTAGGCAACATGGTCTAATGAATAAAGCACCCTGAGGTAGATCTGTTCCGGCTACTTTTGTAGCACACTGTTAATTTTCAGCAAAGCATGAAACGTCTCATGTCACCTTATCCACTTCTGGAAGGCAATCAGAAGCCGTGTGGCTTCTTATGAGAAGCTACACACCACTGCTTTCTTTATCTTCAGACCCATTGCTGCCTCGGCTAATGTAAGAGGAATAACACTGAGCATGGCGATAGGATTCGAAGCCTACTCCTAACAATCAGTCCCTCTGGAAGGGCAGCCAACCTCCGAAGGCTTCCTCTTTGAATGTGCAGCACAGAGAGGTTATGCTTTCATGCCAGGCTGCACACTTCACTAGCTGCATTCACGTATCCCCGTTGCCCTGCTGCCCTGACTTGGAGGAAGGAAGGATAGATGACTCATTCATCCACAAACCCCTTTTAATCCCTCCACACAAACCCTTTTATTCTGGTTTTGCTTAGAAATCCGAGGTGCCACAAAAAGTTGAGAAGAGGGGAAAGAGGGGCAGTGAGGGTACCACCATAAATCTCTGCTCTGCAGTTCCCTGTACTATTTCAGCAGCCTAGCTGTGGCAATATTGTTGTTAGATTTAAATTGCATCACTCTTACTCTCTCGTCTTAAATTTTATGTGCAGAACAGATCGGAAGAAAAACACACCACTCCCGATCGAAATTCTAATGTTATTGTTTCAAAAGTAGCCGTAGATCAGTTAGAAGGATCTGTTGTTTGTTCTGTGTGCCTCTGTAGGTTTGCAGCATCTGTCTATATCTATGCAAAGAAATAGCTCTGGAAAATATGGAGAACCTGGAGCCTTAAAATGATACGTCTTTTCACTTTCAGCTCTTCTGTGATCTGCTTACTTCCATAGGGTTCAATACTGCTTTGAGTGGTATAATACTGCTTTAAATGTATAGTGCAGATGGGTTCCTAATTCATGGCCTTTTTCACTATGCTATTATATTGCTATTTAAAATATTATTTGAAGTATTTTAAATTAGCATCGATGCATATAAATTAGCATATATATATATATATATATGCATGTTATACATATCTGTATACTCCTTGTCCTCTTCTTTGGATGATGACTTAGCTTTTGAGGCCACCCTAGCTTTTCCTGCAACATTTCCCAGGAAAGGAGACCAGTTTTTGAACATGCCCCAGGTCAGCCCCTGACAGCAGTGCAGCGCCAAGTTGTTAAGTGTTCTATCTGCAAGTAATATGTGTCGTTAATATGTCTTAGTTAATTAGCAGCTGCTGTATTCAGTACCCTCATTACTCAATTACCTGAAACCAAAGTCCATCTCAGGCCCTGCGAATGTACCACTTGCATCAAATAAAACCTGATCAAACAAACCCAATATTCTGAAGACCTTATCAACAGATAATAAAATAACTGCTATGCTCTCATGCCTCTTCTTTGTATTTAAAGGTGGTATCAACTGCTTCCCACACACACACAGACTTTTCATTCTGTGACAGAAGGTTAAGGATAAGACTTCAATTTTATAAAGCATACAAATTTACCATTCTCTACAATCTGCTACTAGGAAAACATTGAATGCATTTAACAACTGTGAACGGAAGACTGTGAAACATCTGCTGTTGCTCTGTTTTCTGTGCCTGCTCTAAGGGTCAAACAAGATGGGGTATTAAGTGTGTCGTGAGCCCTTACATTAGTGACTCTAAAAATACCTTTCAACAGGGGTGGAGGGTGGGATGGGAAAGGGACAATGGCCTGGGAAGGAGGGGAGCTTTAACCCTTTGCCCCCCACCCAGTTCTAATCTGAATTTGGACACCAAGCTTTTGCTATTTTTCCAGGTGGGAAGCTTTCATTGAATGGAAGCTTTCCTCCTGGAGCGACTAGCAGGCACTGGGGGTCCTAGTTTTGATTGGGACCATGGTGGGGCAAAGGAGTAAAGCATTCTTTCTCAGCATGCTAATTTTTGTGGGAGAGGGCTGAGCTTTTTTAGTTGTGGCTATGAGTAAGCAACTGGGAAGCAGATACCCTTGACTATCTACTGCAAGTCATCCAAGTGTATTCAAGTCTCCAGGGCCAGATGAACTGCATCCAAGAGTATTAAAAGAACTGGCAGATATGATCTCAGAACCACTGGCAGTCATCTTTGAGAATTCCTGGAGAACAGGCGAAGTCCCAGCCGACTGGAGGAGGGCAAATGTTGTCCCTATTTTCAAAAAGGGGGAAAGAGAGGACCCAAATAATTACCGCCCAGTCAGTCTGACATCAATACCAGAGAAGATTCTGGAGCAGATCATTAAGCAAACAGTCTGTGAGCACCTAGAAAGGAATGCTGTGATCACCAATAGTCAGCATGGATTTCTGAAAAATAAGTCATGTCAGACTAACCTGATCTCGTTTTTGACAGAATTACAAGCCTGGTAGATGAAGGGAACGCAGTGGATGTAGCCTACCTTGATTTCAGCAAGGCATTTGACAAGGTGCCCCATGATATTCTTGTAAAGAAGCTGGTAAAATGCGGTCTTGACTATGCTACCACTCAGTGGATTTGTAACTGGCTGACTGACCGAGCCCAAAGAGTGCTCATCAATGGTTCCTCTTCATCCTAGAGAAGAGTGACTAGTGGGGTGCCGCAGGGTTCTGTCTTGGGCCCGGTCTTATTCAACATCTTTATCAACGACTTGGATGATGGACTCAAGGGCATCCTGATCAAATTTGCAGATGACACCAAGCTGGGAGGGGTGGCTAACACCCCAGAGGACAGGATCACACTTCAAAACGACCTTGACAGATTAGAGAACTGGGCCAAAACAAACAAGATGAATTTTAACAGGAGAAATGTAAAGTATTGCACTTGGGCAAAAAAAAATGAGAGGCACAAATACAAGATGGGTGACACCTGGCTTGAGAGCAGTACATGTGAAAAGGATCTAGGAGTCTTGGTTGACCACAAACTTGACATGAGCCAACAGTGTGACACGGCAGCTAAAAAAGCCAATGCAATTCTGGGCTGCATCAATAGGAGTATAGCATCTAGATCAAGGGAAGTAATAGTGCCACTGTATTCTGCTCTGGTCAGACCTCACCTGGAGTACTATGTCCAGTTCTGGGCACCACAGTTCAAGAAGGACACTGACAAACTGGAACGTGTCCAGAGGAGGGCAACCAAAATGGTCAAAGGCCTGGAAACGATGCCTTATGAGGAACGGCTAAGGGAGCTGGGCATGTTTAGCCTGGAGAAGAGGAGGTTAAGGGGTGATATGATAGCCATGTTCAAATATATAAAAGGGTGTCACATAGAGGAGGGAGAAAGGTTGTTTTCTGCTGCTCCAGAGAAGCGGACACGGAGCAATGGATCCAAACTACAAGAAAGAAGATTCCACCTAAATATCAGGAAGAACTTCCTGACAGTAAGAGCTGTTCGACAGTGGAATTTGCTGCCAAGGAGTGTGGTGGAGTCTCCTTCTTTGGAGGTCTTTAAGCAGAGGCTTGACAACCATATGTCAGGAGTGCTCTGATGGTGTTTCCTGCTTGGCAGGGGGTTGGACTCGATGGCCCTTGTGGTCTCTTCCAACTCTATGATTCTATGATTCTATGATCCAGAGGTCTACCAGGAGATTCCAATCTACCTTCAGCCTACCCCTGGTCTACCATGCCTGGCTGCAGCTGTCCAGAGCATTTTTGTGAAGATTTTACTGAAGGTTAACAAATACAACCAAGAACAACTTCTGAATTTCATAAGGAGAGTTGGACAATAGACAACGCAATAATTAATTTTGAGCATGTCAGTTTCCAGAGGTCATACTGGAAATCTCTAGTTAGCTGATCTGTTAAGCCATGAACCAAAAAGTCCTAACCTTGAGTACCAGTTTCCCAGATATGCAGGAAGAATGAAATTACATTGTTTCACTTAAAGATACAGGATGTTGTTTTATTCTCATTTAAAAAATGAAAAATAACATGGAACTTGGCAGTACTGAGCTTCTCCAAGTTTTGGAAAAAATAATAATACATTCTTCTCAATGTTTCTATATGGATATATTTTTTTGTATTCTGCAGCTTTCTGGCAGAAACTAAAATGAAAAAGCAAGTGAATATGCAAAGCTAGAATCTTTTGTCATTTGCTCCATTGGCTTCAGTAGATTTAGATATCTAACATCATTCAGTAGCTAAAGCCTGTGGTTCCCGTCTTAAAGCTGTTCACAGATTTAGCTAAATCTCTTTTTGTACCACATGATTAGCTTTCTCCTTAAAACTTTATCCAGATTATTCATTGTCAATCTTTAAAATATATTCCAGGTTTCAAAGGCCCCTCAAAAAAAGTATTTTAGAAATGTATTTTAACATTATGCTATATTAGCTAGGAATTTTAGGGACTATAACTCTGTAAATTAAGCTAATGTTCTTTTTAATTTTTGTACAACTAGAGGAGACAGAGATACATGAAGACCTGAGGTCCACAAGTTATGAAATTAGTGAGTACACACCTACATGTATATTAAGAGTACAGTCATACCTCAGGATAAATGTGCTTCAAGTTAAGTATTTTCGGGTTGCGCTCCGCGGTGACCCAGAAGTAACGAAGCGCGTTACTTCTGGGTTTCACCTTGCATGCATGCGCAGACGGTCAAAATGACGTCACACGCATGCACGGAAGCAGCGAAACGCGACCCGCGCACGCACAGACACAGGTTGCGTTCGCTTCAGGATGCGAACGGGGCTCCGGAACGGATCCCATTCGCATCCCTAGGTACCTAGGTATACACCCAGAGGTGGGGGATGATAACATGCAATTTCATCTGTGTATATAGGTTGCAGAGATCCAAAGCCAATTGTGCTACTCCACCTTCATACATCATACATCAAGGATGTGATCTTAACACCACATACTTGGAAGTAAGCACCACTGAATTCAATAAGACTTTCTTCTGAGTAGGCACACTTACCTAGATCTCAATGGGATTTACACCTGAGTAGACCTCTGCACTGTGATTTATGCTCATTTTCAGAACAAATGATGATGAAATTCCTGACGTTCTAAAGGAACAGAACTGGCCCTTCCCACTTTTAATTTTCTCAATTAACTGCTCAAGGTTTTGTGCAGATTTTCAACTGTTTTAATGTTTCCCTTTTAGTGACAGAGCAGAGCTAATGTCTGAAGTGGGCCCAAAATCCTTTTGGCATAGTACTTAAAAACAAGCCTTTATCGCAGCAGCTCAGTGCTTCGTAACAAATCCCACAAAGAATTAAAATGGCAAGGAAATTTGTTTTCAAGCTTCTAAGGGGATTAAGATAAATAGCATGAAAATATTTAAAGCCAAACAAATATGCACTGAAAGAGCTTTTATAATATAAAAAGATTAACTGCATAGCATGAGGAAACACTTGAATATCACCAACTAGCACCGTAAATACAAGCATGGAGTTGGACTACCGCACATAGCTCACATTGCGGACTGCAGTAACCCTATACCTGTTTTTAAAAGTTGCATTTCACTAAAAACTGGAAACCCACTGTGGATCAGTACCATTCAAGACCTTCCTTTTAAGTAGTGAAAACTGTTTACGAACAAATCCATTGATGACTTTGGCTTGGTTTACGTTTATTTGTCCATAAAAAAACAGGAAGCCAGGTGTGCCTCTGCCCATGTTCCAGCTAGTAGTCAAGGAAATGCTAAGTTTAGCAGAGGTTGTTAGAATATTATTAATGCAGAAGTTAATAGTGCTGAAGGTTAACTTTATGACCGATTAATCATGCAGTAGAATTTGCACCAGAGGCACAATGCTATACATGTTAATTATAAGTTCCCAATGCATACTTAAGATGACAGCCTTTAAAAGTGACTATAAATCAATAAGCTGCAGGGTTAAAATCAAACCAACAGGTTTTTAAGACATTGGTTTCAAATTCAAAGGAAAAGTGTAAGGCTAGATAAGGGCAAGACCACTCTTACCTCCATGGGGAAAGCTTTGAAATTAACAGTGTGTTCAGAGCCACGCTGATTTTCTCTCCCCCAATGAAACCGGACATCGTGCAGTTCAAATTCATGCCCCCGAGGCAAGGGTCCTCCTGCTAACGCTGCAAAAGAACACAAATAATAGCAGGTGACATAAATAGCCTGCCGTTTTCTGAAGATTTTCTCAGCCAACAGAACAATAGTTAGTGAGAATGAGAGAGAGGTCACATGTGACAAACTGTGCTCCATGGCTGCACACTTCTTGTTGCGTTCTTAATTTGATGAGGCAGAGCAGTTTTCATGAAGATAAATTTGCTTGTCTGTATTTATCCCTTCTAGGCGTGAATGTGTACATATCCATACATCAGGCCTGCATCTTTACTAGCTGATGGAGTTCTGTGCATACTATGTAACTTACGTTTGTTGTGAGGAAGCTGAACATGAAAAAACAAAACAAATTCTCAACCATTTGAGTCATATTTGGGCCCAGTCTAGTCAAGTGCAGGCACAGCACCTGTATGCATTAAAGAGATTAATGGAGCCCTGTTTTCCCCATCCAGCATGTCGGGAGAAAACATGTGTCTATTGAGCCTGGCAGGGTCCCTCTGAACATGGGTGCTGCATCCATGCTCATCTGAATTGGGCCCATAACGGCTAACAAACTAACAGCTTGCCCTAACTGACAGACATAGATAGATAAGATAAGCTTGAATCCTCAGCAATATCATCTTATGCATGAAATAAACTATCTATTATTCTATGGCCTCGCTTTTAAAAAGAAGTATAAACTTGCTAATCTTTCACAAACCCAGGATATCCAAATGTCAGAACCCAGAGCAAGAAAATCAAAATATATATCTGCATATAATTTCTACGAGAACTAGAAAACTGAGTGAATGATCTACAGTGATATGGCCTGGATCTACAAATCACAGCATTATATATTTGGAATATTGCCAAGAACACTGTGGGTTTCTTTACATGTCTACATAAAAGCACCAAAGTGACCCAGGTTTGACTGACACAGATTGTAATGAGATATGCAGAAGGAAGGGATACGAATGGATGATAATAGAAAAGTAACCATGACGTTCTGCAGAGAGTTGATTCAGTCCTTTCAGAGCAGAGAAAGTAAGAAAGATCTCCCAAGGCTGACTTTTCAAAAGACATTATTTTTCCACATGCCTGTAGACTCAGTAGGGATAGGGCTATGAAGAACTTCTCTCAATTCTAATGGGTATTTTATGAGTCCCATGTTAGAAGCACTTCTTCCAGGACGGCTTCTGGTAGATTCAGAGCTGGGACTCAGAGGATGGTCTATAGAAAAGCCATTACATGAGCAATTAGTGATCCTGTGTTCCCCTGGTTACGGAAACTGGCAGAGTCTGTGGCAAAACACGAGACTGTCTTGGATCCTGCATATAAAACTGCTACCTTTAAGGCTGACAGTCAGCTTCCTCTTCATAGTTTTTCTCCCTTTGAAAACTGAATGCAAAGTTCCAAACTGGTAAGGGAAGTTCTATAGCACCTCAAAGACTAACTCGTTTATTGCAGCAGGAACTGCTGAATACCGGCTTTCATTGTCAAATACTTATGTTGCAGCAAATCAGATAGTCTTTTAGGTGCTATAAAACTCCTCATCTCCTTCATTGTAATAAGGCTACTCCTCCAGAACATGCATAGAATATATTGACAAAATATGCACATTTCCACCTTTAACCATATAACACATCTCTTTCGCTATTAAAAGTGAACTACCTATATTATCTATTCATGGTTTGCTCTCTGCTGAAAAAGTAGATATATATTGTACATGAATGATCAGTTCTAGAGGTGCAGTAAGGACATTTTCAGTGGGGAATGTGTTTGAAATGTTAGGTTTTTTCCCATGAGATACTAGCAGCAGTGAAAAAGTTAGTGATTTTTAAAGCCCTCTTCCTTATATTGAAATACCATGGACCATTTTAGACATTTTCTACATAAGGTAAGAGAAGGAGGATCTGCTATGCTTCCAGATAATATTGCTGGGGGAATATCTATGCGCATCCCTGAGAATGTGCATTCTGCCCTGAATTTGAAGATATTTTCCCATACAAGTTAGATGCTTTTCTCCAATTTGGACATGGCCTGCAAGTGCAGGCAGATGAAGCACAAGTCAATTGTACTTCCTCTCCTGTCACTTCTGCAGAATATTTTAAGTGGCTCTAAGAAGAGCAGCAGAAAGGGAGCCTCCCTCAAATACCCCCACCAGCAATAGCAGGAAGGGAAAGGCTTTCAACTGTGGGATAAAGGGCTCTTGTAACATCAGCACCCTCTGCCTCTCAGGAAGAAAATTGGCAAGGGGAAGAGAGACTGAACTGGCTTTATCCATTGGCCACTGAAGGAGCAGCTGCGCCAAAGGTTTTCCTCTTCCCTCCCATTCCTTTTCCCCTTGGTATCAAGTCTATTCAATTGTGAGCCTGCAGGTAGGGACTGCAGGTGGGCAAGGGCCATAGCTCAGCAGTAGGTAGAGCTATGCAGAAGGTATTGGGTTCAATCCTTGAATGCCCCCTGCCTGAAAATCTGGATAACTGCTTCTGGTAAGTGCAGACAATACTGAGCTGGATAGACCAAAGGACTGAGCCACCTTCCTGTGTTCTTCCCAACCTAAGAGTTGCAAGCATCCAGTACGGGTCCATTGACAAATATTTCCTGCTGACCAGCCAGCTAGAGACACAGTGAGAACTTTCCTTGTGGTCTCCCAGCTGTTTCGTAGCATTTAGAGACTGCCAAGAATATGATAAATAAAAGGCTTTCTTCCTATTGCTAACTCTTGATGCTGGTGTCTTATGTCAGCATATAGTGGCAAGTTGGGGGATTTTCTTTTTAATAGAAGTAAAAAAAAACACCATAGAGACAATTTTAAATTTGGGAATGGGACATGCTCGCGAAGACCCAAGAACATGGAGAGGGCATCTTAAGTGTTGCCCATTTTTGCCAAGCCAGTTTCCATCACTGTTACAGATTATTACAATTCTGTTGGTTAGAAGCCAATTCTAGCATTATTTCTCCCTATTTTATGTGTCTGAACCAGAGGAAGGCAGCCAGAAAGTGGCTGAAAACACATATGCTTGAAGCATTGCACTCCTTGCTTGAACGCTTCTGGGACCTTCTTTGCAGTCTTATGACTTGTAACTACTATTTTTATGTTACAAACAAGCATCCACAGAGTTTTCTCTGAGAGTTTTTCAATAAAGAAAAAAGAAGGGTATGTCAGGGGTTTATGACTTTCACAATGAAGGGAAAAAATGAAATGAAACGGGAGCCTGTGTCTGAAGTAGCTAAGAGTGTGAAGCATGTCAGTCAGTCCCTTGTTCAATGCTCACCTCAGCTGTAGACTTGCTAGGTGGCCTTAGGCAAGCCATTCTCAGCCTCAGTCTTCACACCTGTAATATGGGGATAATAATACCGACCTTACAGGGTGCTGTTGAGAATATTGAGCTAATGTGTATGAAACTGTCTGCTTTTTGTTGTTGATAAGGATAGCATAATTGATAAGTGACAGCAATGATGGTTTGGACATATCCCAAAGCAAACAATAAAGAATAGGAAAGCATACCTGATTTGGACTTTAAGAGGATCTGAACTGAGTGTCCATCATTGATGACCTCACAGTCACGGCACACAACATAGTTTGGTGATAAACATACTTCCAACAGCAAGGGGTCAAATTTTGCTTCTCTTGAATTCAGGTTAATAGGAGACTGATATTCTCCATTAGCATCAGGAAAGACTAATCCCCACTCAACTCCTAGGACAAAAGAAATCATACTTGTTTGAAATTAAAAAATAAAGTATTTCTATATGCTCTTCGAATCATGAGCCCTAAAATATATTCCATCTACTTCCTTATGCTGATGCAAGTTTCTTAAAAGGATTCACCCAAATCATCCTGTTCCTTCTAGATGTCCAAAGTGCAAAATAGTAAAGGTAAAGGGACCCCTGACCATTAGGTCCAGTCGTGGACGACTCTGGGGTTGCAGCGCTCATCTCACTTTATTGGTTGAGGGAGCTTCCAGGTCATGTGACCAGCATGAGTAAGCCGCTTCTGGCGAACAGAGCAGCACATGGAAACGCCGTTTACCTTCCCGCCTTACCTTTACCTATTTATCTACTTGCACTTTGATGTGCTTTCGAACTGCTAGGTGGGCAGGAGCAGGGACCGAGCAACGGGAGCTCACCCCGTCGCGGGGATTCATACCGCCGACCTTCTGATCAGCAAGTCCTAGGCTCAGGGCCAAACTATATATGATATTAGGGGACACGGGTTGCGCTGTGGTCTAAACCACTGAGCCTAGGGCTTGCCAATCGGAAGGTCGCGATTTGAATCCCCGCGACGGGGTGAGCTCACTGGTGGAGGAAGAGGAGTGCGGGGGGAGTACCCTGCCCTTGGCAGCGCAATCCCGGTAGGGTGCTGTTGTGGCTGCCCCCCTCCCATGCTGGGCACCACGCCCCTGTGGCCGCACGCCCTGCCTCCGCCTGCTCTCTGTCTCCCGGTGCCAGAGCATAAAGCTCTGCCAATGGGTGAGCTCCCATTGCTCGGTCGCAGATCCTGCCAACCTAGCAATTCAAAAGCACATCAAAGTGCAAGTAGATACCGCTCCGGCAGGAAGGTAAGTGGCATTTCCATGTGTTCTGGTTTCGCCAGAAGTGGCTTAGTCATGCTGGCCACATGACCCAGAAAAACTGTCTGCGGACAAACGTCGTCTCCCTCGGCAAGCAAAGCGAGATGAGCGCCGCAACCCCAGAGTCATTCGTGACTGGACTTAACTGGCAGGGTTCCTTTACCTATATATTTCTATCTATATGATATTAAATGCAGAATCGGTCCTCAGAGCAGGGAGCATTGTTGGCCTCCTGACCCTAGTGTCACTGGTGGGGCAGGGTAGTGGTGACATTCGGAGCTTTGTGGGCACATTTGCAGGAGTGCAGGATTTACTCCATCAGTGCCAACACAGCCCTGACACCTTGTCCCCTGCCTCCCTGCATCATCCAAATAAATGGCAGTAATGGCAATGTTAGGAGGGTGGTTCTGCAGCACCACCCTAGCCACTACTAGTTAAGCGAATCTTTACATTTACTGTGCCTATATTTTAAAACCGTTAGGGTGCTAAAAGTAATAAGATCCACAACAGATAAGGAGGTAGATTTTAACACTCTCCTCCCCTGCTGTAGTCCTGATGGGCTGCTGTTTGCATTAGGAGGAAATTTACATTTGCTGTGAAAACAGATACTTCAAAGAGCAATTTTCATCAGGTTTTTCTCCCCTACCTATCAATTGCAGTCCTGATAGTTATCATCCCCCAGCCCAGCCCAGCTCCTGCCATTCATATTTTTTAAAACATGCACGTTAAATGAAAGGGCACATTTAATTTGGTCCAGGTGGCTGTGAGACATGCCAAAGAAGTTTCATTAGGGGACAAAATATATTTGATAAAAGAAATTAACATTTCTATATTCCAAGAAGCAAATGTAAAATGCTTGCCATGACCACTGACCCATCTGAACTGGACAGCAATGTCTTTTCAACCAGCATCGATTCAGTTAAGCCCAAATCATGGAAACCCTGTTCTGGTTTTGAAGAGAAACTTTGCTGAGACAAAATCAGTTTCAAATAAAACATCTTGAAGCAAATAAGCAAGTATCTGTGTTCACCAGAATGCTTCTTCAGATTGAAGAAAATGTCAGTCTATGCTTGCACCCAAGATCTTGATTTCACTTAACACAATCTAGTCTCATTAAGTTTTTATAACATCTTCATTTCCTCATAGAAACTGTAGATTGGATCTTTTCACCATATCCAAGCAACATTGCAGGTAATACACACACACACACACACACACACACACACACACTCCGTAAGTTGAAAGTTACCCCACTACTTCGTGAAGGTTTAGTTGGCTTTACTAAAGAGGTATTACCCAGCTGCTAACTTTTAGGATCCCCCGCTAGTGGGCTAACACATCTAACCAGCAACTTTTGTTTTTCTTAGCCTTCTGTCACAAGACCATCATTTACACAACTCATATACAACTGTGACTGTGTGCTTCATCTACACATTGCTGCCATTTGTGAGTCCTAGCCATAAACATTTCTGTACCCATGTTATTAAATTCAGCTTGGATTATCAAATGTGAGAGGAGATTAGAAATCCCTTTTGATTTCCCTCAGTCAGTGCTCACTGGACAGTAAAAAGCAACAAAAGCAACCCAGCTTTTTGTGTGTACAGCCAGTGGCGCTGTCAGAGCTACAGTGTTTGACTTTCAAACACAGCGAGGGAATGTGCAACTTATTTGTGGAAATGCTGCATCTTTGCCTTCGGAAAGAGAAGGGCTTACTGCTGAAGCAGTTCTAGAGTTTCTGTTTTGTGTTGGTTTTTTTTTTTAACCTAAAATTAAATAGCATGCTTTTCTTAACTCGATAGTTTGCACACACACCCGTTTTCAATGTGCTAAAATGACACCTGATCTTCAAACAGTATTTCCAAGGCGTATTGGTGACAAGAGTAAATGTGAACTTTATATTTAAGTTTTCTCTCACACACATGCACACTCAGGCACACAATGAAAAGGCTTCACTCGCTCAGCCCACCTAGCAGCTCACAGTTTCAAGCCCCAACCTCCTTACCTTCTTCATAACCCCACTCCAGAGTCTCCTCTTTCTCAGGAAAGAGATCCGATTCCTCAATGTAGCTGTCAGCCATTCCCAGGCGCTCTCCAGCAGCTCCGTCCCTCTGAGCACTCTGGCTGTCTCTGGAAGGCTGCCTTGCGGAAGTCTGTTCTCCGCAGGCAGCCAGGCTCTGTGTGTGTGTGTGTGTGTGTGTGTGTGTGTGTGCGCGCGCGCAAAGCAGGAGCTGGAGACTTGCACTGGAGAACAGCTCGTCTATGACAGCGTGTGACAAACACATACGAGAGTCAGGAAGCTTGGTTGATGTTTGTTTGGCCCCTGTCACTTTTATATACGTTTCTAGAGAATCCTGAAATGTGATGGTATTATTAGTCAGTGTATGATATGGGTTAATGAAATATAATACAGTACAGGGATGGGTGGGTAGGTGGAGCAATCAAATCCAGGCATTTAAGGCAAACAATTAGGCTGTGAAGAAAGATAGATGCTCTACAAGGTGAAGGGATTTGTTTGCCTCCAGGAGCCTCTAAAACAGGGGTGAGGACCCAAATGTTGTTGGAGTACAACTCACATCAGCCCCTGCCTGCATGGCCAATGGAGACGGAGGATGGGAGTTGTAGCCAACAACATCTGAAGGGCCACAACTTCCCTGTTTGAAACCAACTCACTGGAGAACTGTGGCGTCTGTGTCCAGCTGTGTCTAGACTTGTAGCTAAGCCGACAACATTTGAGCAGGAACTGTCCCATGTTAGAATGCATCTGTTCAAAGAACAAAGTACAGTGGTACCTCGGGTTAAGTACTTAATTAATTCCGGAGGTCCGTTCTTAACCTGAAACTGTTTTTAACCTGAAGCACCACTTTAGCTAATGGGGCCTCCTGATGCCACCATGCTGCCGGAGCCGGATTTCTGTTCTTATCCTGAAGCAAAGTTCTTAACCTGAAGCACTATTTCTGGGTTAGCGGAGTGTGTAACCTGAAGCGTATGTAACCCGAGGTACCACTGTATTGCTATGTGGAAAGGCTGGTGAAAGATATGTTGCAAAATCCCGGGGCACAATGACCAAAGCACTGACCACATGACTCCAGAGTAGCAAGTTTACTCTGCATGCTGGAGAGCCTCTAGCGATCTGTCTTGAGTTAGACTCACTTGCATTTTAAGAAAGGAAGACTACTTCTTTTTCATGCCCCAGAATGCTATTACTAAGCATTCCAGACTCTCATTGTTTTGAGGGAGGGGTTCAAGTACATATCTGAAGTTTATGTTTGTGTAATAAAAACGGATTAAAACCCTGCTGCAACAAATTCATTTTTTAAAAAACATGACTTTTTGCCATTTGGAAACTGATGGTGAAAATGCACTAAAAAGTGTGGGGTGAATGAACGACTAGTGGGAAGACATGTGTAAAGGCGCTACAAGCATATCAGGATGAATGAACAAGACAAATGCTCATTGTCTTATAACTCAATTGCCACACTCATAGGTAAAGGTAAAGGTACCCCTGCCCGTTCGGGACAGTCTTGCCAGACTCTAGGGTTGTGCGCTCATCTCACTCTATAGGCCGGGAGCCAGCGCTGTCCGCAGACACTTCCGGGTCACGTGGCCAGCATGACAAGCTGCATCTGGCGAGCCAGTGCAGCACACGGAATGCCATTTACCTTCCCGCTGGTAAGCGGTCCCTATTTATCTACTTGCACCCAAAGGTGCTTTCGAACTGCTAGGTTGGCAGGCGCTGGGACTGAACGACGGGAGCGCACCCCGCCACGGGGATTCGAACCGCCGACCATGCGATTGGCAAGTCCTAGGCGCTGAGGTTTTACCCACAGTGCCACCCGCGTCCCCTGCCACACTCATATGCATGCCCAATTAGACAGGACTTTACTTAGGTATCAATTATCCTAAACCTCCAGCCTATAATGATCACTGTGGAGAGCAGGATGACTTCCCAGGTTAATTTTATAAGAAAACACCTTAATAACCATATATTAGGCTGTGCATGCCTTGGAACCAAACTGGAAATTTAGGAGAAGTTCCTAGTAGAAACAATAAATAAAATATAGTGCTGCAGGGCCTCTTCACATCAGGCTATGCAGGTAGTGGGCCTATCCTGAAGCCACTGATTCGTCATCCTATTGTGGAACAGATCAACATTGCTTTCCATACACAATCTGATGTACTGAACAAGCCCAGCAGAACCCTTCAAAAAGCCCTGCCTGTAGTTCTTTACACATGCCACAAACATCATTTAAAAATGGGTTTCAACATGGCTGTTTCGTAGCAGTGATGCATAGTGTCCTGAGTGACTTCCAAAGTTTCCCTTAGCGTGCATCTTGGCAGTGAAAATTGTAGACACATTATACACAGCTGCAGAAGGTGCTCAGAAACATGAGAACAAATTATGAACTACATTTTGTGCTTGTACATTTTTATTAGAGGAAGGTGCAAAGAGGAAGAAGACAAAGAACACCAAACCCTGAAACAGAAATGTCAACACAAGCTTCTTTTTGCAGGACCTTTGTTGTTTGTTCTTTGATCAACGAGCAAGACTCTGAAGTGAGTCAATGTGCTGAATCTAATTTGACCCTTTGGGGACCAGAAGGTTATTCCTCTTTCTACATTTGCTTTAAACAAGGATGTGCCCAACTATAAGTCTACATGGCCACAAGGGCAGTGAGGCTGTGTAAACAAAGCTTGGGGGAAAGATTAACTTTTCAGAAAAACAAAAACAGAAATGCATACCTTATATAATAGGGGTTTTCCATAATAAAGAAGGTAACATTGCTTATTCAGGGTTGTCTCTGGGCCAGAACTCAGGGGAAATTTTATTGTACTGCCCACCAGCATGGGTTACACATTGTGTACACTTATGTATAGTAGATACCCATCACTTTTACTTGTTTTTAAGAAAAGCAGCTCTGAGAGGAGATGGTTGGGAGTGGAGGGATTATGTGAGGGAAACAGTGTTTAATCATCTCAACACCCTTCTCCAAATTGCCCTTTTTTGCTCTCCCAAGAGGTTTCAGAAGTGTTACTGCCTGCACAAAGCACTCATTTTGAAGATTAAGGGTAGGGAGTCACTAGGGGAAGTTATGGAATAGACATATGGTTGTGAATCTTCCCTGCTTGACCCACATGATCCCAGTCGATCAAAGCTACTTTTCTAAAGGGGGAAAGGGGGCATCTGTTACACACCCCTAGGCTATCTTTACATTATTTGACTGCTGGTTAGTAGACTCAGGCTAGTAACCCTGGTGGCTATCAAATATGAAGGATACATCCATTGCTTTATAGTGTGTGTGATGACCTACCAATATGCATATATACAAGCAGTGATTCAGTTCCATGTTTAACAAGGCAATGCTAAATCGGAAGAACACTATGGGAGGGGGAAAGCTACAGCTACAACAAAATTCAGTTTGGCAAGATAGTTGAAAGACTTTCTAAAATGTTTAGCCAAAGAGGAAAACAAAAGTGGAAACAAGAACTTTTGTTTTTTCTCTTTTTTTCTTTTTTGTTTTTTCTGTAATTCTAAAATTCTTAATAAATATCATTTAAAAAAAAAAGAACTTTGTAATGCAGAGCAAGGGAAGGGGATGACACACAACAAGGGGTATGAAATAGCAATATGGAGCAAGATTAACCAAACAGTAGACTAGTGCAGAGACTTCCACTTAATTGGCTCAGGGGGTCAGTAGAAACCACAGAACAACACACAGGGGGATGAGAGCGAGGATCATTCTGTTTGGAAAACTGAAATGCTGATGCAGATGGAATGTCTGTCATAGCATGATGCTGAATTTCATCCATGATGTCTTTGTAGGAAAGATGCAGGATACAAAATGCACAGCAACAAAGGATGCAGAAAGTTGCCTTGTACCAGATCAGACCTTTGGTCCACGTAGCTTGTCTATGCTGTCTGGAGGTAGCACCTGCCCTGGGTTTCAGACAGGAGTCACCAGTCCTACCTGGAGATCTTTTTGCAATAAAAGTATGTGCTTTATCACTAAGCTATGGCCTTTACCATAACTCAAACTCAATAAAAGGAATAGAATGAGATTTTCTAAACAAAAACTGCCGTCATGAGGTCCTGAAAGATCATTTGCCTAATCTTAATCAGGTTGAAAGCCAGAAGGGATTCCTGAAAGAATTAGGGAGACTAATCAGGTCATTTGGGACACTCTTGGCTTCAGTTGGTCTTTTTATTTATTGTGGTGGTGTCAGAAATTAAATATTACCTAAAGTAACTGAGTGAGCTGGGAGAAGCTAAAAATTCATGTGAACAAACAAGGGCTGGAGTAAAAGGTCACATAATATAAGTGCAGTTTTGAAAACCAAAAAAATAATGAATTTCAAATATTAGAATTAATTATTGCCTAGCCTGCCTCCTGTTTTGTCTGTTTACATAATACTTATTTAACAGCCATGGTCTCTGACCATTTTTAATGAAGGAAACCCACTTGTTGAACATATTAAGAGAGCAAAATACTTTGGGTATAACACAGGTAGTGAGAACAAGGGTGAGATGCCCCATCAAGTAAATATTGCTTATTAGGACATAACACAGAAGCATCAAAAAGCGACGCAACTTTTCATGCTTCCGAGTAAGAACCGGTTGTGGCTTTCACTTCTCCATTGGGAGACATTTAGCTCACAGTGGTGCCTGCTTCCTCAGACGTTACTTGGGAGCATAGAGATATGATGTGCTTCACAGTAATGTATAAAGCTGATCAGGCCCACCTAGCTGAAATGAAGCAATTTTCTGCCTCATCGGGCTGTTTGCTAATGTGCAAAAGTTGCCCTTGGACATATAGTGATATGCAGTGATAAACCAGTTTAATGTTATGTACATGACCCTCAATCTCATCTGTTTCCCCCACTACTCTTTTCCTCCTCTGCATGTAGGAGATCAGAACCATCTGCTCCCATTTTAAGCTAGCAAACGTTGTTTCATCTGAACTGTGGTTTGCTAGAACAAGCCAAGACCAAACCAAGATCCTGCCTTGTTCAGATAAACCTCAATTAAAACTAACCACGGCTTTTAGTTTGAACACAACAACAAAATGGTTAGTTTAAAACAAAAGTGGATGCTTCCCATCTCCTCTTTGCATCTACACTGAAGGAGATGGGACTGGGGAGCAGGCTCATACATATAGCATTAAACTATGGTTTAGCTCAGTGCTGGGGAACCTGTGGTTCTTCAGGTACAGCGCCAGATTTAGGGCAGTGCAGGCAGTTCCCCCACACAGGATGCTGAACAAAACTGAGAAGATCCATT